CCTTTTTTTTTTAATTTTTTTTTTTTTTTTTTTTTTTTGTATTGGGGATCGAACTTAGGACCTTGCACTTGCAAAGTAGGCAGCAGAACCACTGAGCTAAATCTCTGGCCCTCATAATCTTGATCTTAATTACCCAAACTTATAGAACCAAATCCAAAAGTTAAAGAAACTTTGTTACTTCTATGTATATTTAGATAAATTAGATATATTTTTCTTGGCTGAAATGCAAGCTATTAATTAGGTCATTTAGGTGAGCAGGATAAACTAGTCTGATTTATAAGGACACTTTAAAATTAATTTTATCATTTAACCAGAAAGAAGTTCTCTAAGGGAATGTTAAATTTCTAGTCATTTTAATTGATGTAGCATTTACTTTAAAAATTACAGGGCTGGGGATTTAGCTCAGTGGCATCGCAGTTGCCTTGTAAGGGCAGGGTCCTGAGTTTGATCACCAGTACCCCCCCCCAAAAAAATTGCAGTGGTGGAAAAATAACATAAAGCCTAGTAAAGTGTTAATATTTTCAAACTCCAGTCTGATAATTGTCCTATAAATATAAATTTTTATTCTATTAGCCACATTATGATTAATATATTATTATATTTATAAAATTTCTCATATTTGTTGTTTTAGATGCTGGCTAAACAGTTAGAGGCTCTTGGCTTGGCCGAAAAGCCTCAGTTGGTGACTCGCTTTCAAGAAGTTTTTCGGTCCATGTGGTCTGTGAATGGTGATTCAATCAGTAAGATCTATGCAGGCACTGGAGCTCTTGAAGGGAAGGCTAAGGTAGATCTAGATCTATTCTACATTGCTAAAGGTCATCATTTTTCTCTTTTGATAAAGCTTTTAAATGACTTTTTAAAAATTAATAGATTTTTTAAAGTTAAGATATATTTATTTTAGAATTCAGTTTTATTATACTTTTTTTTTTGCCGTCTTTGAAACGTCCTTCTACAGTAGATACTAATGATTAAATGAAATGTAGGTACTTCCTTAAGTTTGGGGGGTAGATATATATGACATATTTAGTCACTTAGTGATACGCCATTGTGTATGTGTTGCTTATTTTTTATGGTTTTCTCATTTTGCATTAAATATACTACTCATGTTTCTGTTTTAGATTCTTGATATTGATTATAAGTACAATTTTATGACAACAGTTTTCTTAATAAAATGTCCTGTCTCACTTGGTGTTGTCTCCACTGCATTTGACACAGTGCCTGCCTTTTAATAGAAGTGTGACAAATGCTGGATGAACAAATAAATCTGTTGACGATGCATAGAGTACCTATCTACTATGAACTCGACCTTACTGGGGCATAATTGTTGGATTTTTGTCCTTTTACTTATTTTAGCCTGAGAAGGAAGCTGTCAGAATATGCCTAAGATGTGTGAGAAATGAACCTAATTATAAGTTTGAGTCTCCTAGTTACTTTTCAATTGCTGGTATTATCTGTAGACTTCTTTTCCTTCTAGTATTGACCATTACTATGGGATTTTAGGACTGGGATATTACTTGGGATATTTTTTCAGTATTATATTTTAATATTTAAATATTGTTAATCCTTTTAAGGGATCTTGATCTCACTTGAATTTATTAGCATTCTAAATCTACACCCCTTTGAATATTTCAGGAATAGAAATGAAAATATTTACTACTTTATAGTTCTCACTCGGCTTCTTTAATATAGCAGCTGAAATTCTGTAAATACCATTTGACATCTCCAAGTCTTCTTTCACTTTCCAGTTCTGTCTTCTGCATCTCATAACGTGCTACACCTCTGCCCACAAGTATTGGCCTTACCTGCCGAGTCCCTTCTGTTCAGCTCTTAGCAGTAATTTGTTTTGGTTTTTACAAATACTTATTTCTTACATGCTTCCTATTTTGAAAACCTGAAATTGTTAATCTTTCATTTATTCCTTTTAGATAGAGAACATAATTCTTACTTTTAAAGCTGATTCTCTGTAACTGTTGCTTAAAAATATTCCTTTATATTCTTCTGCCTTTTTATTTCTTTTGTGACTAAGACAATATATGTACAGAGGTAACATATATTTTCAGTGGTCTTTTACCTTAACGTATAGATATAAAATCTTTATTAAATATACTACTCTGAATTGAGCTAAAATCTAACATCTTAACTGCTTTCTTTTCCTTTCTCTGGATTCCTTTTGATTAATTGCCTGATAATGTGAATGGTGAGTGTTTTTTTCAATAATTCATGTATATTATCATATAGAAGGGAAAGAACATTTAATGCCATATTTGAATAGCTGATTAAATATAATGGCATTCATTTAGTGGCATTTAAGAAATTGGTTATTCTGTAATGTCTACTATTATTTCTTTAGGGGATAAAATTACATATTGCAAACTAAATTATTTTCTAAAAGGCAAGAGATTTTAAAAAAACTTTGGTAGTCAAAAATCTGTAAGATCAAAATAAATCTTCTTTGTAATAACCAGCATGCCTAAGTAAAATATATGCTTATTAGAGGTTTTCATTAACACTCATTGTAATGTTTTATTTTTATTGGTTGTATAGGCAACAAAATGACAGTATACAAACTGAGTTTACATGTAATATTTATGAGCTATAATTGTAAATTTCTTGTTAGACCTTCAATCTTAGATTAAGGTTTAACTAATGCAAGTTATTTGGGAGCAGTTTTAATTTTCTACTATCAAAGTAACTTGAGGCTTTTCTGGGATCCTATAACTTCAGTATATGAGCCTTCATCTCTTCTGCCGTTCTTCACCCTTTCCATCCCCATCTCTAAAATACCGGTGTAAGAGGAATGTCCTTGTTTTAAATAAGGACTTTTGTGTTTATTTTCTTTCCAATAAACAGTTCTAACATTTACTGCTCTAAATAGCACTACTGGATGTAGTTGTAGTGCTTTGTGCAGTACTGGTATCCAAAATGGGAAACAGTGACATCTTGAGGCCTTTTAATGTGGGTTATAAATTCAAAATAGAATGATTAGGTCCTTTTTTACACTAAAACCAATTTAAGGTTGTACAAGCAACTGTGTTTAGAATAAGAGCTCATGTTCATTTGCCCCTCAACAGGCTGGAAAGTTAAAAGATGGTGCTCGTTCAGTCACCAGAACAATTCAGAATAACTTCTTTGACAGCTCCAAGCAAGAGGCCATTGATGTCCTGCTGCTGGGAAACACCCTCAATAGTGACTTAGCTGACAAAGCTCGAGCACTTTTAACTACTGGGAGCTTGCGTGGTATGCATGCTTACTTTGTATTTTACTCACTTTTTGTTACTTATGATCCTTCCAGAAGTCTTAAGAGGTACATGTAAACTTATTTACATAAATAATTTTTAGACTGTAGTTGATTAAAATAGCTTAAAAAGGACTTTCTGTAAAGGTGATTTTATAAAATGGTATTCTCCAAAGGAAGTTTGTTTCTTTTAAAATATATCATAAACTGGCTAAATACTTTCTTATATTGTGATTGAGAATAAATAGTCTTAAGTATTGCTAACTTTATAGTCAGAATTTCATAGAATATTCAGCTAGCACTTACAATAAAATACCCACTAATCTCATTATATAAAAATGCTTTATTGACAAAAATCAATACTGTATTGGTTATTTTTCTAATTCCCGTCCCAAATGTTTTTGTAACTTGGTCTTAACTTTTAGTTGTTAGTGTTTTTAAATAAATATTAAATCATATTAATAATTTAAGATAGTGCTTATTATTGGTCACTAGCCACTATTAGCAGTTTCAATAACTGAAATAAGGATATGGTTTTCAAGAAAGCTTTTTACCTTTCCTTGTACATCTTTTATTCCTATAAAAGGTTTAAGCTTCTTGTGTCAGTGAGCACATAAAAGTAATAGTATGAGAAAACACATTTATTATAGACTTAATATATTAGACTTTCTTTTTTCCCTCTCAGCTTTGTTAAGCTTTATTTATACTTAAAAAATAAATTAGACTTTTTTTTTTCTTTTTTTTCTTTTTTTTTTTTTGGTACCAGGGATCGAACTCAGGACTTTGTGCTTGCAAGGCAGGCAGTGGAACCACTGAGCTAAAATCTCTGGCCCTAAATTAGACTTTCTTAACTGTATTTTTTTCCCTTTTTAACTTCATAGCATTGTGAACCTTTTTTTTTTCCTGTTTGTCCCAAATCAAACCTTATTGTATTCCGTCTTTCAAATAGAGGAAAATTGTTCCTGCATAATATAGTTTCTTCTTGGTTATTTGGCCAAATGGATGGTCATGGACTCTCAGAATTCCATATGGTGTTCTGAAGGTAGTTAATTACAGCCACCTCCTCAGGGATCCGTAAGTAGGCTGAGGGACTGAGACCTACTCAGACTCAAAAAATCTGATCTCAGCTACTACTTTCAACTTCAAGCTTTCTTTCTGACTTCCAAAAGTAGCGACTGACTGATTTGTGTTTTGTCACCTCTTTCCACCTGTGCCTACTTTGATGTGGAGGTTTTAATAAGCAACAGTTGAAAGTAAGTGGTTGAAGGAGAGAAGAGAAGCAAAGTACCTAAGTAATTCCCAAACTTGAGCATCAGTTGTTTTTTTTTAGTGTCCTGCACATTTTATTATATATAAAATATGCCTTTAAATTTAAAAAGTACAGTCAGTTCTGCTATAATGCTTGTTCTGAGATTGGGAACATGGTTCATTTATGAGGGAGTGATTGAGCATAATGCCAGTTTTGCTTGAGCTTATACTTGATTTCACTAGCAAGCAACATTAGGTAAATACGAAAAACTGTACCCAACAGAACCAAGATGGGTACACATGTATAAATGCTCATACACACGTGTGCCCACCTTACGTGTCTTCCCTACTGCAGTTTACCACATGTTACGAGCCATACCCTCCCACATCCGATGTTTCAGTTTCCCATGTTTTCTGATAACCCCACTGGCATCATTCATTATTCACAATTACTACTTCCATCTGGTGGCCATTTGTACAAGCCCACTTCATATTTTTTTCAAGATGAAGTGCCTTGTTTATTGTAGCATTCATAACCATGTAAGATGCATAATGCTGTGCTGCTTTATTAAGTTCCTACCTTTGGTGTGTCACTATTGAAGTTTTTTAATATGGTGCCCCAAATGTATTTTTCCTATTACCTTTATGGCTATGGGAATTTGCACAAATTTGCATAGTATGTGATGTTTTTAGAATGCGTATGTTTGTTATAGCTGAACTGATGGTATTTACCAGCTGGTGAGACCCAGAAAAAAATAATAAAAGTATGTATTAGGACAGTACCTTCCATATCTCCAGTATCCTTTAACCTCAGATTTTCACAGTTATGTTCTCACTCACATGTGTTGACAGACACAGGAGCAGGCAAAAGAGCAGGTGTAGGAACTTCTGGTTGTGAGTCACTGTAGGGTTTCCTTGGATACAAAAGGTTTGTATCAGTTACTGTCATTTATTTGTAATCTTTGGTATCCTGTAGCCATTAGGAAAAAAAAATCAAGTCATCAAATTGATTTAAAAGGAAAAAGTGAGCCATCTCAGAATGTTTTATAATACACTAGCTTTCAACTGTAACTTGTTGTCTTACTAATGATTCTTTGTTTTCTTCTTGATGCATCCATAGTTTCTGAACAGACATTACAGTCAGGTACAGTATAGAAAACCAACCTATAAAAACAATTTTTTCTTTATTTTCTAAGGTTGATACAGTATACAAATAAAGAGGTATAATTGGAAACTTTGATTATGTCCTCAGAATCTAACAAGATAATATTTTTTTACTCTGAAAAAAACATTTTAAAATTTTAAAAAATTAAGTATTTCATTCAGAAGGGAATATGCAGTGGTCTTTATGTTCCTGCATCAAAAGCTTAATTATAATTAAAAATAACTAATTTTTGTGTCACTTTTGTATTGCTTTGAATAAACATTAATTTTATACCTTATTAATTAGCTACTGGAAAAAACCTGGGTATCTATTTCAGATTAATTTCAGAGTATGTCTATGCTGTATATGACTACTGAGTAGAGTTCCTTACACACTATATATATATATATGAAAGCATGGTCTCATTTTCTTATTTTATGGATAATGTATTTTCTGGAACCACAGACCTAAACTAAAATATGATTTAAAATCTTTTAAGTTTTAAAAAGTGCCAAGATGACTAACAAAATCAGAAGACTTAAGTGTATAAGATATAAAAGTTGCTGGGAGGTGGTATTACACAGTTGTAGCTCCAGCTACTCAGAAGGCTGAGGCAGGAAGATTGCAAGTTCAAGGCTAGGTTGGGAAATTTAGAAAGACCCTGTCTCAAAATGAGAAGGATGAAGGTCAGTTATAGGGCTCTCACCTAGCATGGACTAGTGCCTGGATTCAATCCCTAGGGCCAAAAAAAGCTTTCTGTTTTTCTTGGTTACTTATTCATAGGAATCTCTCTCATCTCTTTATTTTCTGGACAAGGATTTATGATTTTGTTAAAGATAAATTTGTGACTAAAAGAACAAAGCTCTTGACAGAAGTGACACTGAAAATGACATATTTCCCCCCTTTCTTTAAATTTGTTACCACTTATGATTTGTTTTGCATACTTACCCTGAATCTTTGGAGAGGCTGTTGGTTATATATGGTTGTTCTAGAAGAGTAGGAAAGGGAGTGCTTGGCTATGTTCTTGTGTTAGGTATTGAACACCATTTCCTGAAATAATAATGCAGTGTGTAGGGTGGGTGTCTGTCTTAGCACAGACTCATACCTTTGAGTGCATAAAGGTTCCAATGAGTTAAAAATAGAATGGGAATATATCCTTTTATTCCATTTAAAAATCCATTTGACTTTATTAACTTAAAGAGTCAGGCCAACTGTTTTTGTTCATGGTGTTCTTTACTGTCCTGCCAACTGTTTTAAGCTGTTTGATCATAAAACTTACATCTTCACATAGAACAGAATATAGAAGCTATTTTCATAGTATTAACAATAGCAATGACTTTATAAAGACTAGTGATAAGCTGGGCGTGGTGGTACACACCTGTAATCCAAGCACTCAGGAGGCTGAGGCAGGAGGTTCTCTATGAGTTTGAAACCGGCCTGGGCTACATAGTGAGTTTCAGGTCAATATCAACTACATAGTGAGACCCTGTCTCAAAAAACAAACAAAAAACACTAGTGATAAACCATAGTAATAGAAGATGATTTTTATCTAATTACAGTCTGCTTTCATCTAGCCATACCAGCAGGCCAGAACAAATATTCTGCTTAATAATCTGCTTATATAGCCACCCACACTTTCTGTAAGTAATCAAATAGCAAGAGGATGAGAAATCTTCATAACTTCTCTTAGGAACAATGGGGATCCAGCTGTCCTCCTAATCTGAGGGTCCACAGGTCAACACCACATTCATCATAATACTAAAGTGTTACTTTTCTCCTCTCATTTCCTCAGGAGACTGATGTTTATTTGTATCATAAAATAAATATCGCAGTAAAGTAAGATTATATGACAAAAAGTGAAAGTAGATTTGATTTCCTTTTCTTTTTACCAGTTAGTTGCCAATTAAGTACAAATTCTGTGTTTTTAGGTTGAGTTCTGTTAAGGTTCTCTCCACTTGTAAATGCCTGTGTGGAGTGTGGTTTAGAAGGGGAAGAGATAGTGGTAGAAAACAAATATGCAAGAGAGAGACCAAAGATTAAACCATATTGAACATTTATCCATCTAACAGTTAGGTGTGAAGTGCTCACTTTGGACCAGGCACTCTTTTTGTTAATAGGAATATTGCAGTTAACAGACCAACATTTCTACGCTCCTTGAGCTTTCATTGTCACGAAGGGAAATAGTTACAGGAAAAATAAATATAATACTACAGGTTGACAATCTCTCATCTGAAATATTTAGGGCCAGAAGTGATTCAGGTTTCAGTGTTTTTTGGATTTTGCATATTTTCATAGATTTTACCTATTGAGCATCCCTGATCTGAAACTTGAAATGCTCCAAAATTCTAAACTTTTGGAGCACTGAGTTGGTGCTGGAAATTTTTTCAGATTAGAGATTCTCAACCTGTTCATAGTTTGTAAATATGATAATGCTGTAGAGAAAAGTAAGAAAGAGATAATGGAGAGTTAGAAGTAGGGTGCATTTTCAAATAAGGTGGGCAAGGAAAGCCTCACTGAAAAGTAAAGTCCCAAAGGAGGCAGGGCAGAGTGCCGCAGATAGTTTGACAGCCAGTGCAAAGGCCCTGTGTCAGGAGCCAGCCTGTATCTCTGGAAGAGCAGGGAGACCAGTAGATTGGCAGGGAAGTAGATGAGGACCGAAAGAAGAAAAATTATTATAGACCTTGTAGACCATTTTTGAGGATTTGGGGTTTTATTCTAAGTAAGATGAGCAGCATTTTGAAGTAATTTTATTTTTAGACATCTCATTTTCCATAATGTATATTTTTTTAGGGAGCCATTCTTCATCAAGTCACTTAATAGAATCTTAAATGTAAAAGTTTTTTTTTTTTTTTTTTTTTTTGGTACCGAGGATGGAACTCAGGTCCTTGTGCTTGCAAGGCAGGTGGCAGAACCACTGAGCTAAATCCCCGGCCCCTCTTAAGTGTTTTTATTTGGGGAAAAAAAATTTGTACTTTTTACAGCTTTCTACAAACTATGAAAGTCAGTTGCTATATTCTTTAAAATGAACAGTTCTTAGGCTTTGTACATTGAAAAGAACTGTTTATTCTGCATGTTTTATGTTGCTGTAGTAATTTTGTAATACTCTTTTCTTAAACTCCTCCGACTGTTGAGTTTTTGAAGTGTTGGTCCTTTGCCCCCACTGGCTTTGCCATGAGGCTGCGCCTGTGCATGTCGCCTTGTTTGTGCTCGTGATGGTAACTGTACTTCCCGGGTATCGTATCTCAGCTCTGAAAATCCATTTTCCTAAATGCTTCGATGCAGCTAAAGTTCCATCGGGTCTTGTTTTTGATTAGCATCTTCCAGAGTGCTAAAGAGCATGTGTGAGAACTTCTACAAGTACTCAAGGCCGAAGAAGATGCGTGTGTGTGTGGGCACCTGGAACGTGAATGGCGGGAAGCAGTTCCGCAGCATTGCTTTCAAGAACCAGACGCTCACAGACTGGCTTCTCGATGCACCCAAGTTAGCCGGCATCCAAGAATTTCAAGGTAAGCTGTGTATAGCAGTGGGTCAGTTACAGTCCTGACTCTGGCTTACTGACCTGGAAAACAAAAGTAACACATCACAATGTGTATTAATTCATACGACAAACTTTGGATTCTTTTATAAATTTGAAGACCAGTATGTTCATAGATTGAATCAGTCAAAAATCTCACCTCTTTTATTTTTAGACCTTTGTTTTTCTACTTGGATAAAAACACAATGGCAAAATAAAAAACATTTTTGATACTTGATTTTCAGGAAATAGGGACCCATATGTAAAGGGATATCTTTGAAGGTAGCCATACATGTAAGAAAAATTAGTGTGTGTTTTTTTTTAACCTAAATTACTTTGTAATTTATAATTTGATTTTTTTTTTTTTTTTTTTTTAAGACTAGTATATCCCAGGGCTGGGGATTTAGTTCAGTGGTGTCACTGCCTGCCTGCCTCACAAGTGCAAGATCCCGAGTTTAATCCCCAGTACCAAAAAAAAAAGACTAGTATATCCCATTTTTATAGTTGTAGCCCTCTGTTTAGTTACTCTGATAAGAAATGTCTGCAGGACATGGTGGCATTGCCTATAATCCCAGCACTCACAGGATGCCAAGGCAGAAAGATCACCATGAGTTTGAGGCCAGCCTGGGCTACATGGTGACTCCAAGGCCAGCCTGAATTACATGGCAAGACTTGTCTCAAGATAAATGAACAAAAAAGTCAGGGTGGATTATGAGCAGGCTTACAAAATTTGTGGTACTTGTTAGTACCTATAAGTTAATGGTACCAGTTTATCCTTGTAAAACCTTGGTTGTCATTCAGGTTGGGTTCTCTACCCTAAACTGTTCATAACTAGAACAAAACATTTTAGCTGAGTTATTTTCATTATCATTTTGATTAAAATAAGGAATTTAAGGCCTTCCTCTTTTTAATAACAAACCTTAATTCTTTTTTAAATAGTATATAATTACCAATATTACATATGACAGTCATGTGTATAAGAAATAGAATGACACATGTCTGGGAATTTAGCTCAGTGGCACTGCACATGCCTCATAAGTGCAAGGTCCTGAGTTCGATCCTGGTACTGAAAAAAAAAAGAAATAGAATGATACAGAAAAAATATTTCAAGTCACTTATTTTTTTGGTATCAGGGATTGATCTTAGGACCTTGCGCTTGCAAGGCAGGCACGGTGCCACTGAGCTAAATCCCTGGCCCTTAAGTAGCTTTTAATCAGACACATCTTAGTCCCTGGGATTCCCCTATAGTTTTGCTAAGATGCCCCTTTTAACATAGATTAATTCAAGGTCATGGAAGTAGGAGTAGAAATTATAATAATACAATAATAGTAGCTGATAGAATAATATTCTAAGCATTTTGCATTTTTAAGTTGCCCCTTATAGTACACCTATTGCGATGACACTATCATTACTGTGTTACAGAGATGCAGAAGGGGAAGTGACCTGCCTGAGGTGGTGCGCAGTAGAAATGGTCTCAAATTGGAGACAGCGGTTGAGAGGGATTTTTCACGTTCAAATTTTGAAGACCACAAGCTTAATGTTTTGGCAGATTACTTAGGTTTTTTAAAGCTTTAGTTTACTATCCACAAATAAAAGAAAAATAATTTGTCTTAGAGTCATTTGTGTGGTAATTAAATGAGACGATATAGATTAGAGCTTTGCATATGTTGGCTGTGAGTAAATTTGTTTTATTTCTTAGTATTCTTAGGATTTATGAGTTTATTCGAGCTGTTTACCCTCATTTCTGTACACTCAGGCCCTTAACGCGCTTTCAGGCTGCCTCTGTGGAACAGCGTCTGTTAAAGCTGGAACAGCAGTAATGTGTCTTCAAAAGATCAAAATTATGATCTTCGGGTTTGGTTGTGAGAAATCCCTCCCAACTTTATCTCCAGTTTGAGATAGTTTCTTAGCAACTTTATTCCTTGCACCTTTTCTGAGTAATTCCTTTACCTCTCCAATTTTGATTTTAGCCTTTAAGAAGTGGCTTGTTTCTCTGCTGTCCATGGTCCAAACCTGTAGCAAGAGCTCTTTCAAAATGATTTCTGAAACTACTTAGGGATCTCCAAGGATAACTAATTTAAGCAAATTAAAGGCATTTTAATAAAGAATAAAATTAAAATGTTATAACATGAATTAATTGCCTTTAATATATATTTGGTTAAACTCAATACATAGCTGCATTTTTATGAGATTTCTTGTGTTGTATGGGGTGATTTTGCCACTTAGAGGTATATTTATGGGATGTGCTTTTTTTTTTTTTTTATTGAGTTTATTGGTACATTTAGGGATACAGTACAGTTACATTCATTGTTGGGATCATGTACCTTTACATGGCAAGTCTTGATTCTCATTTTTTTCCCCTTACCTCTGCCCTCCCTTCACCCCCTCCTCCCCTCCCCATCTACAAACACTTTATTTTCATCTTTTCATTCTCTCACATTTTTTTCTTTTCCCTTTTTGTTCTTCCCCTACGTATCACACCTTCCCTACACCTTTAGCTCCTTTCCTCCCATTTCTAAATGTCAGTAATCTTATTAGAATCTTATGCATTGTTGCAGAATATTCACACCAGGGAAACTATTTGGTATTTACACATGTGGGACTTATTTATTTCACTTAGGAGTATATCTTCAATATGTATCCATTTTCCTATGAATGAATCTATTCTCTCGCTCTTTATGGCTGAGTAATATTCCATTTTATAGAAAAACCACATCTTCTTTATCCAGTTTCCAACGGATGGGCAAATAGGTTGTTTCCAAGATTTAGCTATTACAAACTGTGCCGCTATAAACATGGGTGCACATACTTCTCTGTGATATGATTCTTTTAGTTCTCTTGGAAAGATACCCAACAGAGGGATGGCTGGGTCAAATGGAACCTCCAGTCCAAGCTCTTTGAGGTATCTCCATATTGATTTCCATAGTGGTTGCACTAGTCTGCACTCCCACCAACAATGGAGGAGGGTTCCTTTCTCCCCACAACCCCGCCAACATTTGTTATTGTGTGATTTCTTGATAGCAGCCATTCTTTGTGGGGTGAGGTGGAATCTCAGTGTTGTTTTCATCTGCATCTCTCGAATGACCAGTGATGTGGAACATTTTTTCATATATTTTCTTGCTGCTTTCACTTCTTTGTATGAGAAATGTCTGTTCATTTCGGATGCCCATTTTTGGATCGGGTCTTTATATTTGGGGGGACTGATTGTTTTGAGTTCTTTATATATCCTTGATAATAGTCCTTTGTCTGAGGTACAGCTGGTAAAAATTTTTTCCCACATTGTAGATTGTCTCTTAGTTCTGCTAATGGTTTCTTTTGAAGTACAGAAGCTTTTTAGTAAGATGAGATCCCAGTTGTTGATTCTTTCTGCTAGTTCCCGTGCTACTGAGGATTTGTTCATAAAGTCTTTTCCTATACCAATGTCTTCCAGAGTTCTGCCTAACTTACTTTCCAGCAAGTTTAATGTTTCTGTTTTAATATTTAGATCTTTAATCCATTTGGATTTTAATTTAGTGCATGGCGAAAGATAAGGGTCTAATTTTAATCTGTGACAGGTTGATATCCAGTTTTTCCAACACCATTTATTAAAGAGGCTATCTTTCCTCCACTGAGGATGGTGAGCTCCTTTGTCGAAGATGAGGTAGCTGAGTACATCTGCATTTGTTTTTGTGTCTTCCAGTCTGTTCCATTGATCCTCAGGCCTATTTCTTTGCCAGTACCATGCTGATTTTATCACAGTGGCTTTGTAGTATAGTTTCAAATTGGGAATTGTTACACCTGGTGCCATGTGACTGTTGCCTATAATGGCTTTTGCTATTCTAGGTCTCTTGTGGTTCCAAATGAATTTTTGGATTCTTTTTTCTAGTTCTGTGAAATATAGTGTTGGAATTTCAATTGGCATTGCATTGAATGTATATAGCAGTTTCGGTAGTATGGCCATTTTCACTATGTTGATTCTTCCTACCCAGGAGCAGGGGATATCTTTCCATTTTTTTATATCCTCTTCGATTTCTTTTTTCAGAGTGCTGTAGTTTTCAGTGTAGAGATCTTTTGTTTCTTTTGTTAGATTGATTCCTAGATACTTCATTTTTTTGGATGCTATTGTAAAAGGAATTTTTTCCCTTATTTCTCTTTCTGTCTGTCTGTTATTTGTGTATAGAAAGGCTATTGATTTTTGGGTATTCACCTTGTATCCAGATACTTTACTGAATCTGTCAATTAAGTCTAGAAGTTTTTTGGTGGAGTTTTTTGGATCTTCAATGTAGAGTATCATATCATCAGCAAATAATGATAGTTTAACTTCTTCCTTTCCTATCTTTATTGCTTTAATTTCTTTCTCTTGTCTAATTGCTGTGGCTAATGTTTCCAGAACTATATTGAAGAGAAGTGGCGATAGTGGGCATCCTTGTCTTGTTCCTGATTTTAACATGAAGGTTTTCAGTTTTTGGCCATTCAATATGATGTTGGCTGATGGTTTTTCATAAATAGCCTTTATTAAATTGAGGTATAGACCATCTATTCCAATTTTTTGCAGGGTTTTTATCATGAATGGGTGTTGAATTTTATCAAATGCTTTTTCTGCATCTATTGAGAGGATCATATGGTTTTTGTCCTTGACTTTGTTAATATAATGTATTACATTCACTGACTTTCGTATGTTGAACCACCCTTGCATCTCTGGAATAAATCCGACTTGGTCATGATGGATGATCTTCTTAATAATCCTCTGTATTCTGTTTGCTAGTATCTTATTAAGGATTTTTGCATCTATATTCATTAAGGAGATTGGTCTGTAGTTCTCCTTTTTGGTTGTATCTTTCTCTGGTTTGGGAATCAGAGTGATACTTGCTTCCAGGAATGAATTTGGAAGTATAGCTTCTCTTTCAATTTCATTGAAAAGTTTGAAGAGTAATGGTAGTAGTTCTTCTCTAAATGTCTTGTAAAATTCAGCAGTGAATCCATCAGGGCCTGGGCTTTTCTTTGTTGGTAAGTTTTTAATTACATTTTCAATTTCACTGATTGTGATTGGGGTGTTTAAAATGTTTTTATCTTCTTCGTTCAACTTTGGTAATTCATAAGTATCTAGAAATCTGTCCATTTCTTCTGTGTTTTCCATTTTATTAGAGTACAGGTTCTCAAAGTAGGTTTAGAGGTATATTTAAAAGTATTTCCTGTATTCTTAATTGTAGATAAAAGAAGTAAGCCAACAGATATATTTGCAATTGGATTTGAAGAAATGGTAGAGTTGAATGCTGGAAACATTGTGAATGCAAGGTAAGCTGCCAGATAACAACACTGGAAAATTTTCATGTTGAGGGATATGGAGGATTGTAACTAAGACATTGTTACAAGGATAGAGTACGATGATGTATGGAAAGTGCTATTTAGATTGTAAAATAGCAGTTCTCAAGTATTTTGGTCAGAGGATCTTTCTGTTAAAAATATTGAGAATGTCAAGGAACCTTTGTTATATCTCTTGATATTTATTATGTTAGAAATTAAAATTGAAATTTTAAAAAATATTTATTGGAGGATAACAGTAATAGCTGGGGATAGTGGTACATAACTGTAATCCTAGTATTAAAGGTGGCTGAGGCAAGAGGACCACTATGAGTTCAAAGCCAGCCTGGATTACATAGAGAGTTCAAGGCCAGCCTGGAATACTGTATTAGCCAATATGATGCTTGGTATCATACAACAAGATGTGTCAAAGTCTGGAAAATCTACACAATGAACCCAGTGAACTTTTCCAATTAATCAATATAAGATGATATTTAATCATACAAGGGTAAAGACTAATGAACTTTAGTATAAATAAAGCACAAAAAGTTCATTGATATGGTTTCAGATTCCATTTTACAAATAACCTTTAAGAGACTCACCATTTGTTGAGTTTTGGTATACAGTTAGAGAAGAAATTAACTGGAAAGGTCATTAAAATACTTTCTTTCCGAGCAGGTATACTTTTTTTTTTTGAGACAGAGCCTTGCTGTGTATGCATACAATTCCTCGTTTAGCGATCAATTCATTTAATGAATTCATTTAATGAAGTAGTCACAGGAACAGAACCCTGTCCTTAAACAAAGAATGTCTGTATTGAAAAAATGGGGCTTTTGCTTTTGAGTTTGCTAAAATTAATAATGTTTTCTGTTTAGTCAAGGACATTCTTAAGAAAAATGGCATTTTTTTACTGCATTTGCTAAAATTAATGTTTTCTGTTTAATCAAGGACATTCTTAAGAAAAATGGCATTTTTTTTTTACTGCAAGTACATGACAAGATCTAGTATAGCTTGGTGCCTGGCTTCAAGTGAAGGAAATCAGCACTGTTGCCCATTGCTGATACTACAAAAGTACCATCAATAAAAATGTCATTCAACACAGTGGAAAAGGCAACAGTGTGTTAGAGTATTAGGAAAATGGTTGTGACTGCATGGGGTTGGGGAATCCCCAGGAGTGTCCCCTCCAGACCACATTAGGAGAACAACTGCTCTAAAGTCATATTACATATACAGATTATACGAGTGAAGCTGTAATGTGTTTGTTTTTAAATGTGAATAGTTGTCCGTCTTTTTTGACATTTAAAAAACTTCTAAAAGACAATTATGGACTGAAATATTATGGTGTAGCCATCAGTATTACAAATGACAAGTGTTACTTTAGCCAAAGTGAGTAACAGTTCAATCAGGAGTAGAAAACAAATCTGACTTCACTTACTTTGCTGCTAGACTATCTTTCCTGGTAATAAATATTTAGATCTTAAAATACAATGTACTCTTACTGCTTCTGATATCAAATTGATTGGCCATTGCTTGTCTAAATTGAGTATGATAAAATTTTTCTTCATTAAAGTGAAGATCATTCATTTATTTAGTTAGTATCCATTGATCATCTGCTCCTGGTACTAACGGTAGACCTCTGTGAATAACATGGACAGAAATCTCTGCTTCCAGACTGGGAACATACCTAGCATGTATGAGGCCTTGGGCTTAATCCCAGCACCACAAAACAAACGAACTTGTTTTCATGGACTTTGTGTTCTAGCTGGAAGAGATGATGAGCAATAACTATAATAAATAAATTATGGAGTGTGTCAGAAAAGTGCTATGGAAAATTAAGTGACTATAAGAGAGACCAAGTCTGTAAGGTAGGCAGTGTTGGCAGTAAATGGAATGATGAGGATACTGTTTATTTAGAAGATGACTTGAGGAAAAGATGATGCTTTCTTTCCAGAATCCACATTACAGTGGTGGGGTGTGGTGGCACAGTATTAGATAGATGAATGTGAGCTCATATTCTGGTTACCATTTAGCATTTGTGTGATCTGGAATAATGAGAAAGAAGACTGTTTTCTCACTTGGAGGTTTGTCGACTCACACTTGTACCGTGAGAATACGTAAATAAAGAAATAGAATCAAGCCTTTATTCTTTTTTCTTTTATGAACAATATCGCAGAGGAATTGCCTGTGGGATGCTGAAATTACAAAATCAACATTTTATACCTCCTAATGAAATATGATCTGAGCGATGTTCATCAGTAGACACTGAATCCTTAGACTCAGCACCTGAGCACCTGGCCATTTGTAACACTGCAGAGGTGATGCATCTCTTGCCATGATGCAGTGAAAAGTGCACAGCACCACCCCAGAGGTTATTCCTGCCACCCTGAACACATAAATAAAAGTGAACATGTTTCTTAATCAGCCTCTGCAGCAAGCAGTTTAAAGGAAATAATGACAAAGACAAGTTAAAGACACCATGGGATTACATAAGCCCAATCCAGGATGTTAAACATTTCACAGGACAGTAAATAGCTTAGTTCTTTAAAAAAGTGGGGTAGGGGAGGCATAGTAAATGGGATAGTTGGGATTGGTGAGAGATACAAGGACATAAGCAAATGCATTTTATAGGCCATGCTTGGACCCTGTTTTAAAGAAACAAACCAGCTACAAGAAGACAGTTTGTTTTATTTCTTTAAGCTTTTTTTTCTGAGAAGACTTTTTTACATTTTCGGGAAATCAAAATATGAACTCTTAGTATTAAGAAATTGTTAATATTTGTGACGATGACACTGTGGTTATATAAAAGTAAAAATATCCCATCACATTATTGCAGTATTTACAGGCAAAATATGTCTTAGATTCGATCTAAAACATTCTAGGTTTACAAAAAAATGCAAGGAAGAGGGATGGAAAATAGATTGGCAGAATGTTTATGTTGAAGCCAATAATGTGTGTATGATGGTTTTGTTATTGACTAGTGTGATTGCCCTTTCTTTAGTGACAATGGAAATAAAACTGACAGTATGATCTACATATAAAAGCTTTAGCTGTAAAGTAAGAGGAGATGGGAAAGGACTCCACCTTCAGTAGTAGCTGTGGAGGGGGCAGTCTGATGAGGAGGGTCAAACTGGCCCACCCCACCCACAAAAGCAGTCCAGCTTTGAAGGGTTAGCTGAGGTGAGCCGGATCTGGTTGGTCATTATCTCACTCCTGGTTTCCTACCTCTGGAGAAATTCTCTTGTCTTGAGAGGTGATTCTGTTTCCGTGAAGTGACTGTCTCTGCTTGCCAATGGTTTCAGTCATATGAGACTTTGTTTTTCCTTGGACCCAGGTGACTACCGGTTCAGATCAGTGGAGACTTCTAAGCATTGCACTGAGAGGGAAGGTCTAGAACTGGATTTTGTAAAAGCTGGTAATCGAATGTCCCTGTGAATCTTGAAAATTACTTTGTCACTTTTATCTTGGTGTCTTGTGCCTTGAATAGGGATAAAATAGGCTAAGTAAAGCTGGGGCTAATAATCTTTGCTCTGTTGTTTTTCCCTAAATGAGTAACATAACCTTTTCCAGAGTTTTAAGGTAATAAAAGATACAAAAGTGAAGATCAAGCTTTGTTTTACTTTTAGTTACCTAATTGGTATTTGTAGGCCCAAGAGAAGAGTCACAGTTTTTAGCAAAAATTACTTTTAAGTCCCTGACTGCCTCAGAAGAAAACACAAATCATGCTTCTGATAAGTAACAGGTTAAGGATCCAAGAGGTTTTTTTTATTCAGTGTCCATGTAGTAGTCTCTGATTATGTCAGTTTACTTTACAGTTATCTTTTTTGTGTGTATATTTAAATTTTTCCATAGTAATTTTTTAAAAGACATTAATTATAATTCAGAATAATTGGGGGAGTCATCTGGAAGCGCGTACTTCTCCATGACCCTAAGGAATACTTACAAAAAAGTAAAGTGTACAGGCTTGAGATTACTCACCTTGTAATTACCATTTAATAAGTCAGCTGATTTTTTGTTGTTTGTAAAGTAATTGTAGATTAGATTTTAAAATGTGATGTTCTTTTGGCTAAATTTCAAGTGGTTTTTTGTTTTGTTTTGTTTTAAAGGAAACAGAAAACAGCCTGCATAAAGATTTCAGTCATAAGAAATTTGATTATATAGAAGTTTAATATTTTAAAGATTCCCTCTTTAATTTTCTGGTAGCACAACAAATCAGAAGCTCTGGGCTGTGGAACTTCAGAAGACAATCTCCAGAGACAACAAGTATGTGCTGCTGGCTTCTGAGCAGTTGGTGGGAGTCTGTCTGTTTGTTTTTATCAGGCCACAGCATGCTCCTTTTATCAGGTCAGTAAACAGAACACTCTCCTAAAGCTACTTCTTACCATTAAGTAAAAAGAAAAAGGCCTAAAATGTTTGTTGTTTCAGAGAAAAACTCAACCTATAGTTCTTGTGTTAAAATGTGTCTGATTTGAGTGACTAATACCTTCCCTGCCCTGTTTCACAAGGATGCGCTCAAAGTACCATGTGACATGTAGTTATGATGTGATTATGTAATGTAGGGTCCTCTCACTTCCTGTGCACATGAAACTGTTGAAATGTCAAGTCTTCCATTTAGAATTCTCTGTTTAAAGGGATGTGGCAGTTGATACTGTGAAGACTGGGATGGGAGGTGCGACTGGAAATAAGGGAGCAGTTGCAATCCGAATGCTCTTCCACACCACCAGCCTCTGCTTCGTCTGTAGCCACTTTGCTGCAGGACAGTCACAAGTCAAAGAAAGAAATGAAGATTTTATAGAAATAGCACGAAAATTGAGTTTTCCCATGGTAAACTTCTGCTGCTTTTTTTTTTTTTAAGCTTCTTATTCTCAAAGATAAGGCTTTGAAGTAGTGTACTTTATGCCAGATTCTCTATTAGATTTTTTAAAATTTAAGATCATTCTTAGAAACATCACCAACATTGACCTAAATAAATATTTCACAATACCATTATATTAAAGAAATAGGCCTAGATGAAGAGGCAAGCATATATCTGAGGCAAGAAACAATGTAAACATTTTTAAAAATTATTTTGAATTAAAGTTCCATCTCATTGTTTACAGGGAAGGTTGCTGTTTTCCCATGACTATGTGTTTTGGTGTGGTGATTTCAACTATCGAATTGATCTCCCTAATGAAGAAGTTAAAGAGCTCATAAGGCAGCAAAATTGGGATTCCCTTATAGCAGGAGATCAGCTTATTAATCAGAAGAATGCTGGACAGGTATATACATACTTGAGAAAATATCTGCTCTGAGAAAAGATTTTGAGTTATAAAACACTTTCCTTCATCATTTTTAAAGAAGTTTCTTGAAGGCCATTTATACTTAAATATATAATCTATAGATAAACCGATAAAGAACTTCCTGACAGGGTCAGGGATTTAGCTCAGTGGTTCTGGTGATATGAGGCTGTATGATTTCCCAAGTCCCATTCAGTTCCAAATGTCTGTCATAGCACAAGGACAAGGGGTCCCTTATTCATGTTTTCATAGTTTGCTTAACACATTCACAATATGCGTGGCTGCCCCATTGTCTGTACTCCCCGATGGAACTGTCCCGTGCTTCCCAGTAAGTCAGTTATGCATGCACCACTGGTGATTCAAGCTGGGGGAACATGTTAATTGAAGGTTAGTGATGTAAAAAAGGCTGTATCTTTGAGTTGTTTGCTTTAAGCTCTATTCCATCAGTAGGAAATATTCATAGATGAGTCCAAATTCATCTCAGAGTATCCCACACATAATAACACTTACTGAATAGCTGCCTGAAAACATAAATATTCATTTTTTAATAACTTACTTTATATGTGTTTATTTTAGATTTTCAGAGGATTTCTAGAGGGAAAAGTTACCTTTGCTCCGACCTATAAATATGACTTGTTTTCTGATGACTATGACACCAGTGAGAAGTGTCGCACCCCTGCATGGACAGACCGTGTCCTCTGGAGAAGAAGGAAGTGGCCTTTTGATAGATCAGGTTGGGAAATGGACTTTATTTAGATGAATTAATGGGGATTTTGTGAGGAAAAAGGGAATAATGCAATTATCAAGTCAGAGAGCTGTTGTATTCAAAAAAGCTTATCTGGAGTGTAATACAACTTAAATATAAGGTAGATTTTAAAAATATTTTTCTTTTTTTTCAGTGGCATAATTTTTAATAAAAAGGAGCAAGGAAACGTATTTGTGAGATTTTCAGTTGATTGTTAACTACTTGAATTACTAAAGTGGTTTGTATGTATGCTGAGCTGCTACTCCTCTGTTGAGTTACTTAGGAGATGCTATCTAATCAATCTTAGGAGTATGACATGTTAATTTTCACTAAGTGAAAAACAAAAAGTAAAGGATTTTGTGTACTGAAAAACTTGCTCATTTGAAGAAGCATCTGGTTGTCCTGCCTGTATTGCACATCTAGCATTCCAGCCCCAGACAACTGACACTGAGGAAGGAGATGCCTCTTCACTCCACATGATCTTCCCTTCTCATAATGCTCTTGCACTTTCTGTTCTGATTGCAGCCGAAGACTTAGATCTTCTAAATGCTAGCTTTCAAGATGAAAGCAAAATCCTCTACACGTGGACTCCTGGCACTTTGCTGCACTATGGAAGAGCTGAGTTGAAGACTTCTGACCACAGGTTGAAATAGTCTTGAGTATTCTTCATGGTGCTTGAAGTTTGAAATAATTCTTTTTAAAACATTCTAATGCATCTGTCTTCCTTTATGTCTTAAGGCCTGTCGTTGCCCTGATTGATATAGATATATTTGAAGTTGAAGCTGAAGAGAGACAAAACATTTACAAAGAAGTAATTGCAGTTCAGGGTCCACCAGATGGTACAGTGTTGGTCTCAATCAAAAGTTCTTTGCAAGAAAGTAATTTTTTCGATGATGCTTTGATTGATGAACTTCTGCGGCAGTTTGCAAATTTTGGTGAAGTTATACTCATAAGGTGAGCAAAATATTTTTTATCCTAAAGTAGCTCATGATTCATAAACAGTAGGTTCTAGGTCAGAAACCACCTATTTAGAGTTTGAATAATGAAGGGGGATTTCTGTTTCCAAGCCAAAGGAAAATTATACTATAGATTCTATTCAAAGAGCTGGTAGGTTTTAAAATTGAATTCTGTACTTAAGCTTTCTTAAATTGAGATGAAACTTTTATATGAACAATTGAAGACAAAAATATGTGCAAGTACAGAGAAAACCTCTCAAAATTCCCATATAATGGAACATATAAAAAAGCCCTATAAAAAAATGAAGCTGTGATTGATAATTTTGGGTTTTTTTTAAGGAGAGATAAAAGTAATGTGGAGGTACTTTTCCTCTCTTGGCTTAAGACATTTGATGTTTAAAGTAATTATAAGTAAGTTTAATTTCTAACCAGCAGAAATGTGATGAGCTGTGAGGAGTCATCCATTCCAATCTTGTTTGCCTATGACTTACCCATCTGCCCCTTGCAGAAGCAGATGCCTTTTTCGTTGTTTTAAAAATATTCTCTTCCATATGTACAGCAGTTTTGAGAGATTTAATGGTGCACGTGTATGTTTTGAGTTCTATAGGGAAAGAAGTATTACTACATTATTTTTGTGTTGTTTATTGCTATTTAAGGTATGTTTTACACATGTTTGATGGGCAAATCTCTATAGTAGGCGCCATAGAAGAGTAGAGAATTTGAAGATGTGGCTCCTGCTTGTGTTAGTTGGGAAGATGAGCATAGTGAGTCCCCAGGTTCTAAACAGCATGGACCACCAACTTAAGATGTTGAGGTTTCTGTAGAGTAAATGTTATGCCTAGGACTGCTTAGTTCTTTTCACAGAGTAAAGAAGCAAATGGAGAGGAAATTGTATTTGAACCTCTAGCAAGCCTTTTGGTGATGATCTGCCTTAAACCTTTAAAAAAACAAAACAAAACAAAAAATTTCCAAAATTTTAAGGCTCTAGGAAGTACGTAGTGAGAGATCTCCAAGGTTTACAGATGACAGTAAGCTTTGCCAAGAGCAGAAATGCCAAACCACTTGCAACATCTTGTGCACTGAGTGAGTAGGCAGCAGGAAAGCAGATAAATGTCTTCATAGCAAATGTAAAATACTGCACAGAGCTAGAAAGAATCCTTTTATAAGGGATAAATGACTGAAAATAGAAAAAGAGACCTGTCTATTTTTCTAACCCACTGGGTTCTCCTAGCTCAAAACTGGAGCCACGTTTTCCTCACAATGCTATCATTATTAGGAAGTTATTGGTAAGAAAATACGTTGTAGTCTAATATAAAACTGTGGGCTGTCTGCACACCTAGAATATGATAGCTCTTAAACCCTACAGTAACCAGACTGATAAAGAAAAAGCAGACCATGAAATTATACAAGAAGAGGACTACTATAAGCAGTAAGATGGAATTACTACCTTTTGGTTTAGAATAATACAACCATTAAGAAGTTACTGCAATCTGTAAACGTCTTTATATTTAAATAAAAGGTTCCTCGAAAATGTGCAGATTTAAGTGTACTTATATAATGAGAGCGTCTAGAAATTTTTACCATAGTGAGTGAAAGTTCGATGAAAATGCAGTTTCTAAAAAGTTCTACATAGATCCATGGGTGTGAGAAAGAATCAGGATCCCTTATTTAAAGTTAGACATGTGTGAAGGGCACTTTGTTAATTGAGGATAAGGACCAGGAGATTAGCAATGCCCTAGGATTGCAGATTCCTTGGTACCACTATCAAAGAACAAATAATGTTTTGAATTTGGGTTGTCTGGTATAGCCTTATGGGTTATTATAACCTTTGGATGCAGGTAATCCTCCATTACCAATAATCCGAGAAAGACTTTTTCATGATATTTAGGTAAGAAAGATGTTATGTGTTTCAAATGACAGCCATCCTGCAGTTTCATAACTTTAGCCTAAGAAATTGAATCATTTACTTTGGTCATGTTTGCAGTGACAACACCTTTGATTTCAAAAGTTAAGAGTACTTGTATACTCATAAAATTCCTCTGAAGAGGAATGCTCTTAAGATCCATAATGTGTACTTTTGAGTCCTGGAGCGGGGGCGGGGGGTGTACTGTACATTTTCTCTGTACAGTTTGAAGGAGTTCAACTTGCAGAATTGTTCCTGTAAATAAGACTTGAGAGCTTTTTTTATTCTTTTTTGCATGATAACCTTATATATCAGTGACCATCCTCTTCAGAACATCTGATATCCTTTTAATTTATTATTATTTTTTCCCCTTTTGGAGGATTCTTATTTCAAAACTATAAACTTAGAATCCTAGAAAAGACCATAGAGAACCAAAGAGTAAAATTATCAGTGCCTAGCCAGGGATTTAGCTCAGTAGTTTCGCCACCTGACTTGCAAGCTCAAGGACCCTGGTACCAAAAAAAAATAAAGAAAAGAAATTGTCAGTGTCTAAGAACCAAGACCACAAGCAAAATCTCCTTGAGACCACGTGGGTTCCTTTTGTTGTTATCATTTTTTGGTTTTAGGATTTTTGGGTTGTTTTCATTTTCACTGAATTTTGTGTCATTTTTTGATCAAAGTGTCCTTCAGGGAAGTCAGACACTGAGATTACATAGTACTGGACTTGGGGTCAGAAGACTGTGATCAAGTCCTGCAGTTTACTCTCCTTGTCAAATCACTTTGAGTAAGGCCTGTTGTTTCTATTAGCATAGTGTTTGAAAGAAACAGATTGGAATGGTGCTAGAGAAAGAGCATCCTCTCCAGGTCTAGGCCTCTGTTAACCAGTAATCACTGGGCTAGTTATATATAAGAAATTAATTATGTTTTTAAAAATTGTTTTTCTTAAAGATTTGTAGAAGATAAAATGTGGGTTACATTTTTGGAAGGAAGCTCTGCCTTGAGTGTTCTGAGCCTAAATGGTAAAGAGGTAAGGAAGATTTGTTGATTCTAAACCATTCTGAGTAATTGTCTGAGAAGATTATATATTTATAAGCATACAGCAGCAAGAGTATATAAATGTATTTTCAGTCACATAATGTTACTTTTGCGCCTCCCTGGAGATATTAACCATTGATATAAACTAAAATAAATTCACTTCTTAATTTGATTTCTGTTATTTGTAATGTAAAATGTTTTAAAATTTTAATTTACGCTAGATATTCTGGCTTATATGTATAGTGCAAAAGATTTCTATCAAAGAAGAAAATGCTTTATTTACAGGAAAACAAGGAAGTTGCTCATGACTTCTAGGAATTTATTTTGTTGGTTTCATTCTTAGTACCTTTTTAAAGCCCTGGTAAAATTATTACATAGATAACAAACACATTATATTGAAGCATTTTAGAAGTGTTTAATTAAAGTTGCCATCTTTACTTAAGACTATATCATAGATAACTTTCCATGTACACTAAATTTCATTATGTAGCTACCTTAGTTATTTAACCAAACTTCTATTAATAAACATTTAGATTACTTCTAGTGTTTATTAATACCAACATTCCAGGGAATCCTTGTGTGCCTCTCAAGTTTCCAGGCTTATCCTATTACTCCCTAGGATAAAATTTGAAATAGAAATTCATTGTCAAAGAATATGGACATACAGTATTGCATTTTGATACTTGTCACCAAATTGCCCTTCAGAAAGGTTTTGTCAAGTTATACTGTACCTGGGATTACCTTTCTGTAACCTCCTTTTTTTTTTTTTTTAACTTTCATGATCAGAAGACTGAGAAGTAGTGTATCATTCCTGCTTTAAGATAGTGATTGCTGGAAGTTACATCTTTTTTTTGGTGCAGGGGGTACAAGGATTGAACTCAGGACTTTGTGCTTGCAAGGCAAGCAGCCCAACCAGAACTAAATCCACAGTCCTAAGTCTTTTTTATTTATGGGTCACAACCTAGACCATTACACATGCCAAGCAGTTGTGTTACCCCTGAGCTACATACCCAGTTCCAACCCATCTTTCCACTGTGGGCTCAGTCTCCTGAAGCTCCCTTTATGTTACAGGTTTTAATTACATGTCTTATATACTGCAAATATTTTTCTTACAACTGTTGTCTTTTAACTACATGAAAATTACTGATTTTAAAATTTAATTTTAGCTTAGGTTTCCTCAATTTGACATTCTATGTCAGCTCTTTTTTCTCACTAGAGTGTTTCTTTTGTTTTCCTTGGTAATTTACTTTGTTTTGTTCTTTGTCCTTTCTTTTCAACTCTGCCTCTTACCCTCAAGTCTAGGTTTTTATAAGTATTCATCCTGCTCCCTGAAAGATTTTCAAAATTCTGTAGAAATGTATTTGTGGAAAGTACAACATAATGTTTACTTGAAATTTTATATCGGTTTTCTCAATTAGCTATTGAATCGGACTATAACTATCACTTTAAAAAGTCCAGACTGGATCAAAAATTTGGAAGAAGAAATGAGTTTGGAGAAAATCAGTGTCACGTTGCCTTCATCAACAAGCTCCACTTTGCTGGGTGAAGATGCTGAGGTTGCAGCAGATTTCGACATGGAAGGTTAGTTTGTTGGCCACATTTGCTTTTGTAGTACTAGAGGAGTCTCCCTCCCATCAGTCTTAGTATCCAAGTTAATCTTTGTCCTTTTCCTTGAGATACACATAGCCATACTAACTAGGATTCATGTTCCAGGTATGTGCCAACTGCTGGAAACATATCAATCATGGTCCTTGCCTTATTAGAACTCATAGCTCAGTAGGTATTATAGACAGGTATGCAGGCATTATAATAGAATGACATCAAGGTGATGATGAATAGTGCTTTGCAGCTCATGGAAAAGTTGCCTAATTGGGTTTGGGGAGCAAAACAAGAATTAACAGTTTAAGCTGAGATTCGGAAGACTGAGGGAGAATTGGATTAAAGAAAGTAGAAAGGAATGACTCAAGGAGAAAGCACATGTGTAGGCCTAAGGGGGAGAACTGGCAGTAAGCTGATGATGGAAGTATGTTTGTGAGAGAATAAATGAAGAAAAAAATGCAGGAAGAACATGGTAGGATGGGTTTGAGTCGTCCGTGAGGTCATTTGGTCCAGATGTCAGCTGTTAGATACATGGGTGATGTTTAGGAGAGAGCTCTGATGGCAAATGATGCTGGGAGTGTTTATTACTTTGGTAGGATCATGCAGAAACTGGGAGAGTGAATTGAGTAAGGAAGAATCAACAGTCCAGGGATCAGACATGGAGGAACAGACGGAAGTGAATATGAAAGGAAAATGAAAAAGAACATCTAGAAATGTCAAAGAGCCCAAGAGAACTTTGCTGATTAAAAACCAAGGAAAGAAAATGTAAGAAGGAAGCTGTAGAGCCCATGGTGTTTTGTACCACAGAAAAATGAGAGGAAATGAGGACAGGAACTTGTCCTTCTGATTTGATAACAGGAAGGGAAACTGCTGGTGACCTTCATGAGAATTTTATGTGGGTGTGGTGGTACTTGTCTGTGACTCCAGAACTCTAGGAAGCTGAGATTGGATACAATGCAAATTCAAGCCCAGCCTGGGCAATTGAGCAACTTAGTAAGACCTGTCTCAAGACTGAAAACAACAAAAAACGAGGAGGCTGAGAGATGTAGCTCAGTGCAAAGTCCCTGGGTTTAATCCTCAAGACCCCAAACACACACTCCCAAAGTAATTTCAGTGGTGTGATGAAGCCAGTGGTGGAAATTTTTATGGGTGAAAAATGAAGAAGTAGAGAAAATGACTGCAGACAGCTCTGTAAAGGAGCTTGGCTAAGACTAGGGGGAGGGAGAAAAGGACAGTTGGTCATGAAAGACTGAGAACCCAAAGGTGGTGGTTTGTAAATGGGAGAGACTGGAGGTGCTTAGTACTAGTGGAAAGTGCTGGTAGAAGCAAAAGAGCCGGCAATATTGGAAAAGGTTGGCAAATAACAGAGCAAGGTCACTGAGAGAAGTGGGGTGGGTAGGAGTGCTTTCATTGCACCCACAGATACCTGAATGCCAGCCGTCTGATTAGATTCCAGCTTGCAGATTGTTGACGGCTGGAGGAAGGGGATGCCTCCATCTTAAGATTTCTGTTCACTATGAAGTTTAAGTGTTGAAATTATCTGCAGGAGTGAGACACTCCACGTTTGAAGAGTTGAAAAACTTAGGGATAAAACTCCTGAGGAGAAGGGGTGAGGGGAAGAGGTAATCAGTAAATCATGTCATTTCCAAGCAACTTTGGGAGCCCAGACATCATCATGAGGGCTGTGTGATTTCTTAGGCAGCACCATTCAGCAGGCCAAGTGTAATCACAGAAAGATCAAGCAGTGGAACTGACGCACAGTAGGAGTTTTGTGACAAAGGTGACAAGGGTAACAGAAGAGTCATGAGGGTAGGGAACGGTTGAGTGAAGAACCATAGAATCTGAAGTGAGGTATAGAAGAGAGCATATTGGACGGGGGTCAAAATGAGAGGGATCGAGCCTGGATCCTGCTGAAGAGGAAAGAGGAAAAAGTGACTGAGGGAGGGAACTGCCAGGCTGCAGGTTGTCAGGATGCAGTACTTGTGCTTGGTATTTGGGGTGTGGTTATGAGTGTCAGGGGGATGCATTGTCCACATGGCCTGCCCTGTCACAGAAAGATGATAGAACCCAACTTGTGTCTTACTTTTTACTTAGTCCTTGATGGCAGCTGGAGATGACTACAGGAAGTAGTGTAGTGGGTGTTATATAAATTCCTGATGGCAAAGCTTCAGAGAAATAGATTTTTTTTTTTTTCCAGAGGTGTAAGATGAATGTTCTGGAGTTGGAATTAGGTTGCAAGGGACACATAGATCCTATTTTGTAGTCCTCGGACAGTGGGTTGAGGACTTAGCGGAGAGGCAGTGTCCAGTTAAAGCAGAGAGGGTCTGTGTGGTGTATAGAGGGACTGGGTAAGACCTCCAGGGAAAAGGTGTGTGGCTGTCCAAGAGCTGACTTGCTATTTGGCTGGACCTGGGTTAGCCAGGGAGTGGGGCGGTTCCAAACAGCACAGTAGATAGACTTGGAGGGACAGCAGTCACCTTATGAGCCTCCCAACACTGCTCTGCGCTCAGGGCACAGTGAAAGCCTTTTACTCCATTCAGCACCTAGTTGCTTGAGGTAATAGGTATCTTTACATTTTCCATAAGAATGTGTGTACTAATTGTAGTTGTATACATATAAATGATACACAACTGTATCCTTTAATCCATGTGTGTTATTTTAGTTTGTATATTTGAATCTCTGTAAGCCCTTTTAAGGTGAGAAAAATCTCTGATCAAGTTGAAATGCCATCATCTTTTCTTGCTGTTCCTTAGGTGATGTTGATGACTATAGTGCTGAAGTTGAGGAACTTCTTCCTCAGCATCTGCAGCCATCCTCAAGTTCTGGCCTCGGCACTTCCCCAAGCTCTTCACCCCGGACAAGTCCCTGCCAGTCACCTACAATAGCAGAGGCTCCTGTACCTTCCCTTCCCATCAGGCCAAGTCGAGCTCTATCAAGAACCCCGGGGCCTCCGAGTTCACAGAGTGTGTACCATACTTCAGAGCTTCGTTATGACATTTTCCACCAGTGGGCTGGACTCTAGAGAGCCAGTGTGTTGAACTTGGTGCCCATATGTGGAGTACCCTGAACACAGAGGGGAGAAGGTGCAGGCAATAAGCTATCAGTGCAGAGGAAACTCATTGACACCACTGCCTCTGATGAAAAGTTTTCTCAGTCCTTTTTCTGTGTAGTCACAGTCTCTCTGAGTCTCACAGCTGACAGATTTCTGTGTCTAGAGTAAGAATCCATAACTATGGGCCTTTCTTTCTCTTTCTCTTTCTCCAGCAGATTGCACGTGACTTAAACCAAGTCCTTGCCTTCTTGATAGGGCTGCTCAGTAAGTCAGCTTTGACATGGAGGCCTAGTTATGAGTCAGCACAGAGGTAGTGTCTGCAGCCATGCTGGACGGCTTTTGATATTTCTACTGAAAGAGGGTGCTGTTTCTTTCTCTACACTAGTGAACACATTTTAAAAATCAACAAAATGGAATATTTATTGTACACGTATACAAAGTACCTTGCCTTCTGCTAGTGCCCACTTGGTCCCTGATCTTCTTATCAACTGTACTTGTCCAGGTTCTCCTGTGGACAGTCAGCCAGCGCCCCAGCTGCAGCACAAGGAATCTTCCCAGGCCCTAGAGCCCAAGCGGCCACCCCCTCCCAGGCCAGTTGCTCCCCCGACACGCCCTGCTCCCCCACAGAGACCGCCACCACCTTCAGGTGAGCAGCCGCTCTAATTTCCCATTGTGCTAGACTGAAATTCCTCCTCCGCTGTTTAGAATGCTCTATGTGTTTTCATATCACTAGCTTCTAGTTTTATTATCATTATCATTATTATTATTATTATTATTTTAATCATTGCTGCTACTTTTTCACCTTTTCTCAGCAAACATGATGGGTAGACAGGACAGGTAAAATGTATTTAGCAGGTAGATTTTTTTCATAGCTGCCTTCATACCAGTGTGCAAGAGGGGTTCATTTTAGTTTTGCTAATTTGATGTAGGTGGGCATGTAAACTGTTCTTAGGTAAAACTAGGTTTAATTTTTTTTTTTAATTCTCATTTCTGGCTTCATAAAATCATTAAAATTTACCAATTTTTGTAAACTTTATGATTAGAACTGGAGAGCATGCACATTATTTGACATGTTTTCTATAAATAATATTTTTAAATATGATTGTATTGTTACTTTAGTTTTTATGAATACATGCTTCTTTATAGTATGTAGATACTTACATTTAATTCCAACGTGATATTTGTTACCATAAATACTATAGCAAATCTTGACATTTAATTCTTTATTTAATGTCATTTCATTTCTGCTGCATATTTTCTTGTGAACTATAAGGGGCTAGGAGTCCTGCACCTGCTAGAAAGGAATTTGGAGGTAACTATTTACATTTGTTATCCTGTCTGAGTCTTGGTTCACTAATCTTTTCCAGTTTGATCTCTCTAACTGAGAAACATTTTAGGTTTGTTTGATACAAATCAAGATAAGTGACATTTATGCTACACGTTAAAAATAACTCTAAACTTCTATTATATTTCTCTTAAATGAAAGTGTACAACTTTGCTTTATTTGTGAATACAAGTAATGAGAGCTTCTGTCTTCCAGGAAGACATAGTGAAACTACATAACAAGATTGAATATGCTTGTTTTTTTAATAAGTCGGGTCACAAAGATTTAGTACCAGCAGTCATACTAATTTCAAAAGGGTTTCAGATACAGTGGACACAGAACATTTCCCAAGTACTTGATGAGTGATTCTCCAGTACATTCCTTTTCTAGTGGAAAAGTCAGTAGGGTAGCAAAGTTTCTGGGAATGTAGGTAATCATCTGAAATATATCTATTTTATATTTATTATAACTTGTTTTAAAACCCCTGCATCATTTATTTAAGAATGCCATGATTTTCTTTTCAATATAGAAACTTTGACCCTAAAATTGATCACTTTTTTTTAAAAAAAATGTGTAATTGGTTTGATTGGCATGCAAACCCAGAGAGACCAGCTGGAGGGATACAATTGACAAGTTTGTTTAATCTGTTTCTCCAGAAGGATGAGGCAGATTGTCACAGTTCCTCAAAAGAGCTTGTACAAATCCACTTGTAATATTATTCAGGCCCACTATTCATGTGTAGTTGGTGTAATTTCTCTTCTTAGATGCCTGATCACCTGAGGAGTTTACATTCAGTTATTACAGACTGACTTTGCTTGTGTATAGAGTTTGATGACTTTGTGTACTAAGAATAGCTAAATCATTTCAGTATCACAGCTTCCACGAGGTATGGCCTAGTAATAATTTTTCCATTGATCAAGTATTTCCCAAACTCTTCCTTATATTTTCATGATAAATTCTGTTTACCTTCTGCTTGAATTAGAAAACCAACCTGTAGAAAATAAATTTTAAAATAATTTTGTGGGAAGTTGAATTATATTTGCAATCCAGTAGCTTTTTAAACATTTTATTTAAAAAATTACTCCTCTTTATAATTCTTTTGTGGGCACTGTTTGCAATATATTTTATTTTATTTCATAATCAGTAATTCCTTTGAGACAGTTACCTTGGGGAAAATCATTGTAGCGCTTTTAGAGTTTTAAAAATATAATGCATCAAAATTTGTCTTCTGCTGGGGATTTTGCTCACTGATTCTGCCCCCTGCCTCACAAGGGCAAGGGCCCAAGTTTGATCCCTGGTACCAAAAAAAATTGTCTTCTATGGTGAAGCACAGTAGCACACACTTGCAGTTTCAGCTACTCAGGAGGCCAAGGGAGGAGGATTCCAAGTTTAAGACCTTATCTCAAAATAAAAAAATTAAAAAGTGTGATGGTAGTTCAGTGGTAAAGTGTTTTCCTAGCATGTGTGAGCCCCTGAGTTCAATTCTCAACAACAAAAACAAAAAAAATAGTCTCATTGAATTTAAAACTTCATTTGTGATCTTTTTTCTTTTGACAAATGTTGGAGCTTATAGTAGAAATATAATTCTAGCAGTAAAGAACAAGATGATCATAGAAGAAAGACATTGAACTGTTTAATATTTCCTGAGTTTAGTAAGCTCTGATTAAAAAAGAAAATTGCCATCCCAATTCAGTTTGAGGAGAAGGAGAACTCAATTTGGGCTTGGTCTGAAGTCACGTTGGTTTATACTGATATTTTTTAAAGAGATGGAAAGCAAAGAAGGAACCCTTGTGCAAAAGTAATTGTGTGCCTGCCTTTCTTCATTCTGTGCTATGGGCCCTGAACAATACATAGCTTTTGTTCTTTCTCTAAAAAGGTGTTGGAGCCCCTCCCAGTCCTGGGGTAGCTAGGAGAGAGATGGAAGGTAACAAGACTTTTACATTATAGAAATGGTTCTCTTGTTTGATTTCTAAATGTCAGCCACTCCAGTGTTTAAAGGCATACTGAATCTTTTCTTAGTCCCACTGTAAATGTCCCCTCCATCTCCTCCTTATGTATACCTTGTATTTTTCTCTCTTCATTCTGTCATGTGTATGGTTTCTAATGGTGGTCAATTTAATTTCCCCAAGACTTGTGCAGTATGTTGTTTGTACTGTTGCATAAATTTTTCAGGTATACTTAGGTTGTAAAATTACTATTTAAGAAGAATGCCTTCAGTTTTTTTTTTTTCAGAATAAGTCAAATGTTTAGAAATGCCCTTTTGGTACTGGGGATCGAACTCAGGACCTTGTGCTTGTGAGGTAGGCAGCAGAACCACTGAGCTAAATCCCCAGCCCATGGTGGGCATTTCATAGTAAGATATGTACATTCCTGTCTTCTATCTCAATCATATTTCATTACAGAAATCAAAAAAATCTCTTTGTAAAATAACTGTTCACAGTAATACCTACAGCATGAATCCCTGCAGCAGTGCTCCTGGGAGCCTCTTATCTAACTTGCAATCTCCATCCCTCCCTACTGCTCAGAGCATTTGTTTGCCAGGCTCTGAGGAGCAGAAGTTACAGTGTTCACATCTTGTGACCATTCCTACTGCTGACCATGTTTTTGTGGTTCATGGAGAGAGCTCTGTGAGGACTGTCACCTTCCAAGTGACCCCGAGAGTGAGGCAGCAGACTGAGTGCTAGCCTCGTGTCCTAGGAAGTGCCTCTAAGTATTCTGGCTTTTCTCTCTTTGGAATATTTCACTCAGGACCAACAGTACCCTTCATCCTTATCCAAAGCGAAGCACAGATTTGTTAACCATCTCAGGCCCCCGTTTCTGCTGGTGATAACACAGAATGACCAACTGATTTATGCAGTATTGTTTTATTGCTTACTTACGACTAATTTTTTTCCTTCCTGCTTCCAAGCACCCAAAAGCCCTGGAACAACACGGAAAGAAAATATAGGTAAAAACACTTTCAAAACTGGACCATGAAATAGACACTTGGAATATACATAGCCGGTTTCTTGAATTTTTTACTTTGTGGTTTTTATTTTTTATTTTTTGTTTTAATCCTTCAACATAGGATGTAATGTCTTCATTCCAGGACGCAGTCAGCCTTCATCTCAAGCAGGATTTGCAGGCCCAGGACCTGCTGGAGCCAGTACAGCCAGACCGGTAGGTGACATCAAGCTCTAGTCTTACTAGTTGTCTAGTAAGTAGTTTTGTTTCATGGGGGAAAACATTTGACCCTCTAATACCTCAGCTTCTGAAACTCTAAAAGGAGTGAATTGATGATACCTAAGGTTTCACCTCTAATGTTATTTTACCTATTCTTCAAAATAACTAAACTATTACTTGAATAAAAGTGATATGCTTTAAACCGTTATGGTTGCTAAATAAATATCTTAGTATCTCCCAGTATATGAGGAGATGATTTACATTAACTGTAACTAAATAATTATTGTAGACATCAAGTTATCTTTCAGTAGGAAGGATTTTAATTAGTAGAAAAAATACGGTAGAGTTATTGTATTAAAATGAGGGTATTAAAAATAGGAAAGCAAATGGTTTGCAAGATTTTCCTTCTGCTTAATAAATATGTAGCTTTTTTGTATGCTTATCATATGTTTTGTTAATACACATATTTTCTCCATTATTTACCCAAGTGAAACTTTTCTCTGAGCTAAAACAGCCAATCAGAAGGAGAAAGAGAAAATGGAAACCAGTAGTCAGTAACTTAAGCCCATCTGGTAGGAAGCCCCATATCTGAATATACGGATTCAGAGCTATCACACTACTGACAAGTAGAGTTGTGGGACCCTACAAAACTACTTCTCAAGAAGACAGATTGTTTTTTGTTTTGTTTTGGTTTTTTGGGGGTTTTTTTGGGGGGGGTTTTTTGCGTTTTCTGAGGTAGCTGTTTACTTGACAGTGGGATGGTACTTTGAAATTTCTATAAAGTACATCTGAAGATATCTATTCTCTGTTTCACAAAAATGGAAATTGCCATGCACTGATCCCACTACCACACTCAGCATACAGCTTTTTTTTTTAATAGTGTAAGGACAGGCAAAGAGAGTCAGGATCTTTGTGAGGTTAAAAGTTCATATTCTGGGCCGGGCATTTAGTTCAATGGCACCGTGCCTGCCTCGCAAGTACAAGGTCCTGAGTTTGATCCCCATTACCTAGGGGGAAAAAAAAGAAAAAGTTCATATTCTGCTTGAAATAAATATTGTGGACTTTGAATCTTAAGCAAACATATAGAAAGAGAAAAAAAATATTTTTCACCAGTAGTGTTCTGGTGTATTTTATTTGGAATCTTGAGTTGTTCAAGAGTTTTTTTTGTTGTTGTTGTTTTCTAGTACTGGGGATTGAACTCAGGACCTTGCACTTGCCACTGAGCTAAATCCCCAGCCCGAGAGTTTTATATCTGTGTTTAAAAATAGTATCTTAGAGTGTGGCTTTTCAGAAGTGTCTTAGTTGCTCAGGCATGAATCTCTCCATCTCCTCACACCCTTTATAATTGTCCCTGTCTCACAACCGGGCTTGGTGGCACATGCCTGTAATCCTAGCACCGAGGAGGCTGAAGCAGGAGGATCATCATGAGTTTGAGTTCAACCTGAGCTACACAGTATATTCAGGGCCAGCCTGGAAAACATAGTGAGACTCTGTCTCAGAAAACCAAAGCAGGTGGGAGAGGAGAAGCCCGAGAAGCCAAAGTGAGCTGGAGCTGCCGGAGGACCAGAAGTAGCAAAAAAACTTGTGAAAATTAAGACTGTTTCTTCCAGTAATGGAGGGGAAAGTTCCAGTCTCAGTGTTGAATAGCGATCAGCTGAAGAAGAAGCTGCAGACCTCCCAACAAAGCCTACAAAGATCTCCAAGTTTGGATTTGCCATAGGTAGTCAGACAACAAGGAAAGCATCAATTATGTCCATCAAACTTTGATCAAGTAAGCCTAAAGAAACTGTTCCAATTCTTGCTCCAAAAAGCCTTTCAGTAGCAGCAGCTTTTAATGAAGATGGAGGAAATGCCTCCGGAAGCAAAGATGAGGATGAAGAATACTGGAAGGGATACACCAGCATCAGCCGGACCAAACTCTTGCAATAAAGGAAAGCATGGGTTTTCTGATAACCAGAAGCTTTGGGAACGAAATATAGAATCTCATCTTGGAAATGTCCATGACCAAGACAGCTAAATGATGTGTTTTGAATTGGGCTGTGGGGTGGGTGTAAAGTTAAAAGGAACAGTTTCCTTTTTTCACGAATGATATAAAGACTTATCTTTGGAGCCGCATTTTCTTTTTCATTTTTTTAAGATTGGTACACTAATGAGAGTTCGAAATTAGAGGTAATTTATGTTTTATATACAGATTTCAAGACATTTGCTAATTTTATACTTTCATGAGTTTCCAAAGGTTACAGATAAGAAAGAAATCAGAAGTGGTACCTTTTTAAGAATTGCATATTTTTTAGACACAACTATTAGCACATTAAGAGGGAAGCAAAAAATTACTATTTAAAACTGTAAGCAGTTACTCCTAAATTAACTCCCTCATTACCTAAACTGTCTGGCTCCCAGAAACAGCCTTATAAGAGAAAGGGGAGAGCATCGTATTGAAAGGAAAATGTTGCTGGACTATTGACTGAAAGTAAATTTAGATAAAATTAAAATAGTTTTTTCCTTATGGGCATTTGTTTTGGTATCATATTATTAAGTACTTCATTGCTATCGGTGGATACCGGTGCTTAGCTCTTTTATAAAAAATAGTTTTTTAAAAAAATTTCAGTGTGAAGTATCAAGTATTTGAAATAGCCCATTTCACTTTAGTGGTCTTGTCTACCTCATTAGTCTTCAAAGAACAGCTGTTTGCTACCAAGGTAAATCAGTATTTTGAATGTGCTTCTCTTGGTTTTTATTTGTTTATTAGCTAGTTCCTGTAAGCACTTCCACCAGAACTTGAGGAAAAGCATAAGGAAGCCATTTCTTTTAAAATACAAACCACTGGCTGGGGATTTAGCTCAGTGGTTTCGCTGCCTGCCTTACCAAGTGCAAGGTCCCAAGTTTGATCCCCAGTACAAAAAAAAACTAAAATACAAACCACCATCAAAAATATAAATGTACATAATGCTTACGTTTTTGGCTTGTTTTTATTTTTTTTAAAGGTATAAACACCAAAAAAAATTAACATTGTAGAAGATGGAAAACAATAAGATGTATTTTCTGTAACTTTGTCTACATATTTACATTACTAAGTTGTTAAATCCATTTTAAATTGAACTCACTACAATATTTCTTGAACAATTATATTGCTTATTTTAAGTGTATACATACTGTCCACTGGCCTCTCAAAAGCATATTGTGGGTACTAAAAAGAAAATGCATCTTAAAACATTTTATGGAATTGTTCATCACATACACTGTTAGATTGTGTACTGTAGTGTGTTTTGTGTTTTTGTATTGTATATGAACTTTTTTAATGTGACAGTTAAACACATCTTTGAAAACATAGTCACAGACAAAAGAAAAATGATAACAGTGATTTCCTTCAAAATTCCTACAATGTTAAATTTGGAGGCAGCTTCAGGTTATTTTATTGGTGGCAGTCACTTGCTGATCTTAATAAGTGGTAACTCCAGAGAAGAAACTGCACATATGCCTAGTAAGTTGTTCTTTTACATTAAAATTTAGAGTAAGCCCCAAGTAAAACAATGGAAATGTATATAGAACTACTCATTCTTATATGATTTAATTATATCAGGATACATGAATTTAACTTTAACTTACTTTTATGTAGGCAAACTATTCCTTTTTGTCCATTTTACTATTTGTTAAAATAACATCCCTCTCCTGCGTACTCTTTTCTTGACCCAAATGAAATACTAATGAGATGAGATGAGAGAAATGACTAAGATGAATGTCTTTACTAAAATAACCAATAAATTTTGTCAAACTCAAACCACCCCCCTCAAAAAAAAAAACCTCAAAGCAAAATTGTCTGTGTCTTCCTTGAAGGCAACATTGCATATGACCAGGAGCCTTTGCCCTGTACCCCATTGGACCTGAATCAGACCCTGGCTCATAATAAAAATACTACCTGCCTACCATAGGAATGATGAGATAATATCTGAGGGGTCTTTTTTTAATTAAATACCTCTACAGTGCTTAATTGCCTCCATACAGCAACCAGGCAGAAGTAAAAAAATTTACCACCATGTGGCTCCAAACAGCAAAATGTCAAGATAGGGAATACTGCCAGAGAGGAGAGTAAATGAGATGAAAAAGCATTTATCTCACAGGATCCTGCATATTGAAAAATATGTCAAGCATGGCATTTTCCTTTTCAGACTATTCCACCCCGGGCTGGAGTTATCAGCGCCCCCCAGAGTCATGCTCGGGCGTCTGCTGGAAGACTGACTCCAGAAAGCCAAAGCAAGCCACCAGAGGCACCGAAAGGTAGACACTGTATTAGAAATCCCACTTGGGACTGGGCATGCTGCCATCCCAGCACTCTGAAGGCTGAGGCAGAAGCATCCCCTTGAGTTCAAAGCCAGCCTGGGGTACATAGTTCAAGGCCAGCCTGGACTACATAGCAAGACCCTGTCCCAAAAAAAAAAGGAAAGAAAATCCCACTTGGGTTTTATTTTTTCCTTTGCCCTTTTTTTTGTTTGTTTGTTTTTCTTTCTGCTGCCTCCCACAACTGGTTCAAAAAGGGACAGTCTTGCTTCTTTATACCACAAGAAATGGGGCTACTTGTTGGAGGATAGGCAATGAGAATGTCCTGACATTTCATGGAAGAAAAAACACAGTTCTCAGCATACAATTAACTACTGGCCATCACTGTTTTAGGCTCAACACTCCTTCCAGAACCACTGAAGCCTCAGGCTGCTTTTTCTGCTCAGCCGTCCCTGCCCCCACCTGTTCCGAAGTTCCAGGAGCCTCTCGTCCCCACAGCAGCACCCATGCCTCAGCCTGGCCCCCAGCCCACTTTGGAAACCCCACCCCAGCCCCCGCCTCGGAGCAGGTCATCCCAGGGCTTGCCTTCAGAGTCTTCACCACAGCCCCAAGTAAGTCTCAGTGTTAAATTAGCTGTTGTCTTTGCATATAGATACAGGCTTACAACACGTGTACTGTAATGATTAGCTTTTATAAGAAAAAAGTATGAACTTTAGTTTTCTTTTTATTTGTGTCATTTGGTATTAATAGCATCTGAGATATGACTTCAACAATGAAAGTCTCAAACTATTCATGTAACATTTGGCTGTGATGGTTTTAGGTTGCTGTTGTTGATATGTTACTTAGATCAAAAATTCTCAAAGAGTAATCCATACCAGAGATTTTGGGGGCATTTTCAAGTGGTTTTTCATGTTGATGTTAAAAGTTTGTGGCTTTTAAATGCGTAATTTACTTTAGATTTTTCATAAATATTAAGATGAACAAGAATAATTTATTTTTTATTGCTCACAGTAATAAATTAGTCTTGGCTTTTACTTCCTGGAGAGAGATTAAGTCATAGACATGAGCATGATTTCCAATAAACAGACTAATTCTTAGTTCCTCTTGATGTGAGTAGTAGTTCTTTACTGCCTAGATATTCATTAGATATTTCTATTGATCACAGTCAGTACTGGATCACTTAAGGTGGGTCGGGCTCCACCAAAGTAAAAACTGCCGAACTGCTGAGTGACCTCCTCAGTGTCTCACAGAAGACAGTGCTGTTGCCTCTGCAGGCTGAAATCCTACTATCTCAGAGACAATTGTCCTCTCACATCAGAGAGATTTCTCCTGATTATATAAGAAGTACTGTGTATGGGAACAATATTGTGAGATAAATCCCTTTTTTAAGTTTGGATGATAATTTTACTTAGTTTTATTATATTCATACATTTAAAAAAATTGTTTTAAAAAGATAATACTTTCATTGTTTAGCCTTATGTAAATTGTTAACCTGAAAATGCTAACGAGTTTTAAAGAAAGGTGTGAGGTTTTAAAAATCTGCTTTTAAACTTTGGAGACACCACAAATATAAAAATATTACGTATTGCCAGTATTCCTTAAGTATATTGATAGTTTATCACTCATATTTATTTTTATGGATGTATGGGTATGTCCAGCTAGTTGTCAGAAGTTTCTGTTTCTACATGGTAAATAGATACTAAATAGGACTAAACTGTCTGAATATTTTTAGCAGTTGATACTCGCTAGAGTATTGTCACGTTGATAAAAGCTGAAGGATATATAATATAGAGAAAATATTCTCAAGCTGATTAATACCAAAAAGTGCTCTATTTTTTTTTTTAGTTCAAAAAATTGAGGATGCTGAAGATATATAATCATGCTAGAAACCCTCCAAAGAGCAAATGATTGTTATTTATCCTTTGCCACTTACTTTTAGTGAGTCATGAGTTTTTTCCAAGGTTTCTTATAATCTGTGGTATTGTATCTTTAAAAATGTAATTAGAGGGCAAATCAAACTAGCCACTTTGCGCTTTTAGTGTTTTAGGGCATTCATGGTAGAGTAGAAGTACACCTTAATTCCTACTGCTTTGTAATGACCTAAGTATCCTGAGGCCAGTGTGAACTAGACAAAGTGCTGTGCTCTAAAAACTTTCAGGAAAAGCAAACGATCCAAGAAGATTGCAGTTCACTAGTGACACACACACTGCTGTGGAAACATGCCAGTGACTACCAGGCATTGTTTTCTGAGATCATTTTCCATTGTTTTCTTTTTTTGAGAGAGAGAGAGGGTCTCAATAGATAGTTCAGACTGGCCTTGAATTCACTGTGTAACACAGGCTGGTCTCAGACTTGCGGCGATCCCCCTGCCTCAGCCCCCTGAGTGCTGGAATTACAGGCACACGCCCTGGATTCATACCTGAACCCATTTTCCATTGTTTGGATTTCAGTTTTTCTTTGAGATGATTTGATTTCTTGCTGACAGCACTTGCTTTATGTGTAGTCTGATAGCTTGTATTCTCAAATCTTGTTATAGTCAGTTTATTAAACATGCCAAAGATGTTTGTTTTAAAGTCCAAATTTTCTCTTTTTTATCAAATCTAATCTAAATTTTCTCATTGATATCAACTTCTTATCCTCCAAAGTAACTGTTGCTTGAAAAATATGTAGAATCTTCAAATATGATGAGGATGAGGATTTTAAATGTGGCAAATTTGATATTTTGGTTATATGGAGTGGTTCTAGAATTGAACATTCCTGCCCAAGTTTAAAATGTAAAATCATATGTGACCCAATTTTACTTTTTGTTATTTTGATGTTCTTTGACTAATTATATGTAGAAAAATTCCTTTGACTCTAATTCTGTATAGAAAAGATTCTTTTCATTTACCTTTACAAAACAAAAACATCTCACTCACTGTCTCATGACTTCCAGCATGTCAGTCATCTGATGACCAGGTAAGAGCTGGAAATCAGGAAATCCAGCAGCAAGTACAGTCACAGAGCTCGCTGCCATAGGACTGACGAGCTAGTGGACAGAGAAGGAAGAGGCCAAGCATTCGAGATCCATTTAGTGGAGAGGAGCAGCCCTGTAATTCCTGGTCTAAGCCTGTCCTATTCTTACCCACTGCCACAGCTGATAAACATGACTCTTAAGATCATCCAGACAGTGGTCACTAAAATTCAAGTCTTTTGTTTAGTAGGCAGGAAACTCCCCTAACATAGTTTCCTGCCTTGTTTGTACCTTCACACTAACCAGTTGCAAGGTAAATTAATGACAGTATCGTCCTTCAGAAAACTTGAGTAACACAGAACAAAACTGGGTCCCGTCCATTTTGTTAAAATTAATATTAATTGTCATTAGTGTGGTACTTTTGCAAAATGATACCATTTAGTACACTTTCTACAATAATGACAATAGTTTATCGGAAAGCTGTGTCTTAAGTCTATTTAAGTTGCCTCAAAAAAATAACCACAGGCTGGAGATTTAGCTCAGTGGTTCCAGCGCCTGCCTTGCAAGTACAAAGTCCCAAGTTCGATCCCTGGTACCAAAAAAATAAATAAATAAAAAATAACCATAGACTGGGCAGCTTACGCAACATGACCCTAGCACTCCTGGTTGCGGAGGCAGTAAATCCAAGGTCAGGCCACCAGTGTAGGTGGGTTGTTTCTTCCTGGCTTGCTGATAGCCACCTTCTCACTGTGTGCTCACCTGGCCTTTCTTCAGTGTATGCCTGAAAAGGAGGGTGGAGGAAGCCAACACTTGTGCTCTGATCCCATCACAGGGGCCCTAAACTCTGCACCTTTTCAAACGCTAATTATCTCTTTACAAAGACATCAAATACCCCAGATACCTGGGGATTAGTGTTTACACACAGGAACTGTGGAGGTAGTAATGATAACCATTCAGCCCAGAATGGAATGCTTAAAATGTTTCAGAGTTCTGTAAACCTTTTTGGAACAATAAAACTTTGAGCTGGTTGGTAATCAAGTTCAAACAAAATTTAGATTTGGATCTAGGGCGTGGTGGTGCATGCCTGTAATCCTAGCACTCAGGAGGCTGAGGCTGGAGGATCACTGTGAGTTCGAGACCATCCTGAGATACATAGTGAGTTCCAGGTCAGTCTCAACTACATAGTGAGACCCTGTCTCAAAAAACCAAAAAAAAAAAAACAAAAAATGGGATCTAGGGCCGGGGATTTAGCTCAGTTGTGCCACCACCAGCCTCACATGTACAAGGTTCCAAGTTTGATCCCCAGTACCAAAGCGGGGGTGGGGGGTGGGGGGGTTCTAATTCAATAAAAATTACAAAAGAAATTGCAGTTGTTTTGTAAACTTGTGCTACATCCTGCAAATACTGTTGCCCTTGAGCTCTGTAAGATAGAACTAAAAGTATTTAATAACTGAATTGTTAGGGTTGCTGGCTGGTCTCAAATTGTCTTCCTAACTCTTTCCTTTGATGTCTATATTCCTTTTCTCAAAGCAGGAGCAACCATCAGGGTAACAGGTATCTGACTTTTTATCAATCTTATATGTGCTTTTCACCCATCGTAGCACATTAGATGTATAGGTCTTTTGACTCATACATCTAAAGTTTCACCCATTTTTAAAACCACCTGTCCACATTAATAAGTTAAACTATCATACCATAAAACCTGCGTTTTCTTTTTTGTAGTATTTTGGATTTTTAGGAATCATTTTGGTTGGTCTTGCTAATGCTTTACCATTTTTTGCTTAATTTTTAAATGAAAATAACAAAACTAAACAGTATAACTTCAAGAAGGTAAGCTTTAGGTATATGAAAGCCTAATTAGCAAAACCAAATGGTTTTCATAACTATTTGAACACAAATTTTTTTTCTTGGGTTTATTTTGGGAAATATTTTTTTTCCAAAGAGTTTTAATAGCAAGATTCTTTTCAATAAGTAAGAATTGGTGATTTAGAAAGATGAAAGTTAATATAATAGCAAGTTTATGTAAGTGTCCTTCCAACACCTTTCTCAGCAAAAATAACAATAGTTTTAATATTGTCTTCCCAAATTCTTCTTAGATTATAAATTAATTCTAATATATTGAATGGTGGTGTGGCTGACATTGAAATTTTAAGTCTGATTGGAAAAAAGATCCTGCTTCTATCAAATTACCTTTAACTTATTTTAAAATAAAAATTATATCTGAAAATAATAATACTTAAATGTATAGCATTTATTTGGCCAGGGCCTACAATTCTAAGCTGTGAAGAGTGTTAACTTTTCCTTTCTTATAATATCTGTTGTGGATTGTGCTATCTGCCATAGGAGAACTTTGTCCTAGACCCAAGTGTTGCCATTTAGTAGTAGTAATCATCAATAATCCAGGGATTAGTGTAATATAGAGTAATTATAATTTTATAATGACTAATAAAATTTCATGTCAAGTTCATTTCCACATGTAAACCTGCTTACCTTTAATGCATTTAGAATACATTTGAACGTCCTATGACCCCTTAGTTTTGCAACTGATTTAGTCATGTCGTTTGAAAAAAAACACTTGTTCATTCAGTTATAAATGGTGTTCTAGGACTGTGAAAATTAATGAAACTTCAAGAAGGTAAGCAGATACTTGAAGTTGTTCACTTATGAGGTTGTCCATACCATGTTCTTTTTCAAGTGAATGGCCTCTATTATTAAGCACTGAGCCAGTGTCATAACGTGCTATTACATAGCTACTGATATTTTTTGTCTAATATATTTCATGAGATAGTTAATTTGCTTAGTGCTGTTTTACTTTGCAGATCTTGAAGCTAAAATTCTCCCTTCCCAGTCCTTTCCAACCCAGAAGTTTTGTTTTTCTCATTGAATTTGGCATGAGTGTCCAAGTCACTTACCCTAGCCTATGAATTACGTAGTCTTTGTTTTGTTTTGTTTTGAAAATTAATGAAATGCCTGATGAACTAATTTGCTCCGGGGGCCAGAATCATACTTCTTTTCCCCAGCAGGCCCACGACTGGACTCCACCCAACCAGCTTTCTTGTGAGGAGGCAAAAGGGATTAGGGAAAGAGTGCAAACATTCCCCGACCACAAAACAGTCCTGAACACTTCCTCATGCTACCAGTTTATGGCAACACTTGGGGCACAGCTTCATTTTCATTTTCGATTAATATACCAAGCAGAAAATAGAATTTTCCCCTGGTTTTAGACTATTGTTGCACTTGGTTATTAATAGCGTACCTACTTTGGAATTTAACAAGATAGGGAAGGTCGATTAAGGAAAGTTATCACATTATTCACTGTTTATCCTTCAAAGGAGAACTTACATTAAAAGATAACTCTGAAAATTTACTTTTCGATTTAGAGGGAAAAGATACCTCTACAGCTTATGAATACAAATACACTAATAACATTGAATTAAAGTTGAATTATAGTAACATCTTAACTGAAAATATATTTAAAAGAACAATGAAACCACATCATCCTCATAAGATAGGTGTTGGAAGCTTATTTTACAGATTTAGCATAAGTCCTGACTATGGGTTTAAGTGTATGTTAAAATTTGAATGAACTGGGCATGGACAAATTTGTTAATTCTGTGCAATTCTCTTACTATTTCAAAACTTGAGTGAATGAAATAAATTTTATCAAGTTTCTTTGAGATTAAAAATGTGTGGATTCAATAAAAGAACTTGGTAGTTTTTAAAGAGTTAAGATTTTAGCTGTTTGACTCTCCTTCTGTCACCAGAGTAACAACCTCCACAAAGCTACTTTTTAATTTCTAAATTTGTACTTGCCCCAAAAAAGGAAGACTAATTCAGACAGGAAGGATAGAGAATATTAATAAATACAAACCGTTTGTTCAGTGTTCTCTTTCCTTTCCAGGTAAAAACAAATGGAGTCTCAAGTGTCAAACAAGAATCACTATTAAAGAGTGACCTATTTGAAGATCTGTCATTTAATCTGCTTGCTGTATCAAAGGCTCGGCTCTCTGTCCAGACGTCACCTGTTCTAACCCCAGACCCAAAGAAGTTGATTCAGTTGCCTTCTGCAACACAAAGTAATGTTAATACTTGGAGTTCTGTAAGCTGCATGCCAACCATGCCTCCAGTTCCAACTCGAAGCCAGGAAAACATGCGAAGCTCTCCAAACCCATTTATTACTAGCTTGACCAGCACAAATCCTTTCTCCGACAGGACTGCTGTTCCTGGAAACCCATTTAGAGCCCAGTCTCAAGAGTCAGAGACAGCTTCCTGGTCCTCCAAAGAAGAGCCTGTTACAAACAGTCCTGTCCCTTCGCTGATGCCTCTCCGCCAGAACACAGACAAGCCTTCATCTTCTCTCGATTGCTTTAAGGACAGTTTTGATCTGCAGGGCCAGTCTACAGTGAAAACTAGCAATCTGAAAGGATGGGTAACCTTTGAGGAAGATGACTTTAGTATAAAAGGGAAGTCAAAGTCAGTTTGTCCAGACACACTGGGAAATCAACCAAGTGCATTTGATGATGACTGGAACAAAGGTACAAATGTTTCTTTCTGTGTGTTGCCATCCAGAAGACCACCTCCGCCTCCTGTCCCTCTGCTCCAGCCCAGCACCAGCCCTGCCACCGACCCCTTCACCACCTCAGCACCCAAGGCATCGCCCACACAGGACTTTACAGAAAGATGATGTGACTGATACTCTAGAAAGGGGGGAAAGGTGGTTTGTTTATTTTTGTTTCTTTTTTAGTTTTGGCAGGGCAGAGCCAAAAGAATTGGGCATTAGTTATTCATTATGTGCAATAAATAATTGTTAAGTGCACTGATACCTTCATAAGATACCACTAGGTGATGTGAATAGAGTTGGAATATGTGTATATTGGGAATGAGGAAAAATCCTTCTGATTATTAACTGGAATTTTGGTGTGTTTCTCTTCAGATGAATAGGAGACAGGAGTAACCATGAAAAGTGCTTAAAACTACCTTAGAAAGTAGTCCTTATTCAGACATTCCTTGTCAGTCTGAAAAATCTTAGAATGCCCACACAACTTTTAGCTGACATTACCGCCAGCTCTTGCGCACTATTGACAGTTGGTATTCATATTTACCAAAGAGCTGCCAAAGTAACAGTGAAACAGTTGAAGAGCACTGCTTTAACAAAAAAGTTACATATGTGTGTGCATATTATCTATGCACAAATATGCATAAATTTACATATTTACAAAACTCCTAAATTCTAAGGATATAGCTCAGACCAGATTTTTTACCTAAAAGTTCTAACAAAGACCTTTTTCAGTATCTCATTACCAAAAAGATGGCTACATGTGTAATTTGAAATATTTTGTTAATTTTATTTCCAAAACCAAAATAATCTCTCTAGATAAGCAGAATTTTCTATTATTCTACACCCCAGCCCTTTAAGCACACACACCCTTGTTACTTTCTACTCCGGGGCCTCCGCATGCTTTCCCCCAGGAGGGGATTCTTGCAGCCTGAAGCAGCATATTTTGCGGTCACTGTCACATGGACAGATACTTTAGTACCCTTGAAAGAGTGCTGTGGCCTTAGATGTAGGGAAGGCACATACCACCGAGGTGAGTGACAAATGTTACAGCTAAACATGGTCTCTTCTGTACATTTAAGGAATGTGTTAGCCATTTCCTTCCCATGCTTTTCTCTGCTGCTTTTGCTCTGGAACTTTGCTTTTAGCAGGGAAAGCATCCATCCCCAGAGTGTTGCGGACCAGGGACATGCCCAGTGTGGCCTCTTCTCCAAGAGGCTCCATAGCACATCTCTGATGCTGCTTTAAGTGTTTAGAGGGTATACCTCAAATTAGCTGTGGATTCTGTCTCCTGCACTGCCAGTATGCAGCTGATCCTGCTTTTATTTTATGAAGTACACAGAATTTTTACAGAGTGTAGTATTTTGATATTGTTAAGTAAACCAGTCAGAAGCCCCTCGAGCACTAGTTGTTTTTTTGTCAGTTTAAGTTAAAATCATCTTTACCCATTAAGACTTAAATTAACATTCCTTTTATATATATATATATATATATATAAAGAGTTGTATATGTCCACCTAAATTCCTAGGCCCTCAGTTAGCCTTTAAAGATGCACATTGGGAGAATATTAAAAAATAGAGTTTATGGCTAAGAATATGTGAAGTGTAAAAGCACAGCAAACTGCATTGCACTTAAAACATAAATCTATTAGGAAAAAGCACTTTTCTAAATGCTCAAATGTTATCAAAATACTATATTTATAGAAGTAATCCTTTGTTAACAGCCAGGATTTGCTGTCAGAGATAACTAGTGAGTTTTATATTGTGCTTTTTTTGGGGGGGTTCTAATCATTTTGGCAGTAGTATCTTTTAAGCACTGTGCTTCAAAATGTAAATTATTAACTTGTTAATTGTGGCTTTAACATCTATGTGATTAGTGTATATGGTATTTGTTCTCCATTTGCAAAATAATTCATTGTTAGGTTAACTTCACTAGTGCCGATTGCAGTTCTGTGAGCAGTGTTTCCTAATGAGTATAAACTACTGTCTAAAAAACACATAGCAGCAGCAGCTCAGCCTTCGTCAGGAAAATTGTATTTGGCAAGTTGCTGAAAACGCACAAAGTTAGGAAAGTTAAAGGTAGGCTGCAGATAACTAGCCATTATTCTGTGTATTATTAAATATTTGCCAGTTCTGTTCAAAGCAGAGCAGAAATTAGACACTAAGGATCTCTTTATGAATTCTCTTTGTCCTTGATAGTAGATTGCTGTTTATATGTAAGAATTTTACTGCTTATGTGGCATATAATATTTATAACTATATACTTTATAGAAAGTACAGTATTAAAATCAGTGGTATACAGATATTCTGTACATATCCTGCGAAGTGTGCTGTCACATGAAATAAATATACCTGTCTTTGCCATGCTGACTACTTTGCTCAAAAAGGAAGCCATTTTCCTTGAACTTCTCATATACAAGTTCAGTAGTTTTTGGGGAAATTAGTTAGGTCCGATTTTGCCAAATCAAATATTTTAATTCAAAACCTTATTTTCCTATAATCATTTCTTCATATAATGTTTATTGTAAGAAGAAAGATTTTCTGAGATTACTAATGGTCAACAAGAAGCCCATGCACTTACTCCGTAAGAGCCCCTCATTAGAAATCTTGTCAGCTTGGAAATAACACATGAAGCATGAATGATGATGTTCTGACCGACAGAAGAAAAAACAACTGGGAAGCAGAGGGGAATTAGGACACCAACAGCCAAACCAAAAAAAAAAAAAAAAAAAAAAAAAAAAAACTGGCCAAAAAGACCCAAATTAAGAGACTACATACAGCAAGTAGATTCTGGAAGTATTACCTTTATCCAGTCCTTTTTGGTTGATATTCAAAACAGTAACTTTGGCTCCTAGTTTTAATTGTCCATTAACCCCATCACTTCTCGGCCTTTTGGCTAAGATCAAGTGTAATTACTCATTAACTTTTAAGTCTGATACAGAGCAGTAGACTTTTAAAAAAAAATTAAGATAATTGCAGTCAGTTATATGGCATTGGAAGAGGGGAAGTTGTGATACCGCGAACCTGTGTACCTTTTCTCAGCTTTGCACAGTTCTCGTGCAGCATGGTAGCACGAGCAGGGCACTAACATTGATTGATAAGGGACATTTCTGTCACTCCTGGGATCCCACCCCCATCACATCCCAACCCAGCCTCTTTCCTCTGACTTCAGCCTCCACCAGCCGTTAATCTGCTTTCTGTTTCTATTTCTGTAACTTCCTCATTTCACAAGTGTAATATAACTGGGGCTGGAGATGCAGCTCAGTGGTGGAATGCTTGTCTAGCATATTGGAGGCCCTTGGTTCAATCCTCAACATTCCAGCTAAGTTACAAAATAATACAGTAAGATGCCATTTGTGCAAAATCTTTAGGGATGTATATATGTGTAAATGGTATAAAAACATGCAATGGAAATGATAAACCCCAAATTCAGAAGAGCAGTTTATTTCTGAGGAAGGGGCAGAAAACAGGATTAGAGGGCTTTGCAGGAGGTTTAGTGTTCTGTAGTGTATTAGGACTTACTCAAAACAACACAGTGAGTAACACTTAAAAGTTTCTCTTTTCCAGCAACCGCCATTCTGAGTTATCCAAAACTAGCCAAGTGTGGTGCTGCATGCCTGTTATCCTAGCACTGATATGGGAAAAATAACTCCCAGCCTGTTTGATGTCAGATGTGCCACAAAGGGATCCAACCATCGCCATCCTGATCAGAGGCCCCCTGAATCCCCCACACAGCTGTACCAGGGGTGTCAGAACACAATCAGCCCCACCACTGATAGGAGCCACTACCAGAGCTTCCCCAAGCCCAGCTTTTAGACAGCCAATACCACTGTGCTATCTCCACCCTTGTTCTTGGCAGGAAGCTACAATCCCTTTCACTCCCAAGACCCTACAAAAGCCCCCCTTCTCCTCTAGGAGGGCTGCTGGTCTGGTCTTTAGTGCTGGAGCCATCCCTCTCAGGTTTGTTCTGAAATAAACCTGTCGAGTTGAGCTTGGACCTCTGTGCCTTGTCCTTTTGCCTAATGTGCTGAGTTTGTGGTCTCACAACATAGAGGAAAGAAGTTGCAAACCAAAGGAGGAAGTTACGAGAGTTTTATCAAGAATGAAGAACAGCTCCTGGATTTCTAGGAAGTGTCCTGAGTGGGTAGCTACGAAGGTTCTTTGTCAGGGGTAATTTATACAGCAAAATCACAACATGGGTCACAATCACAATCTATAGGTCTGTGAGTATAGTAAAACCTTGTTTTGCAAGCATAGTTCATTCCAGAAACGTGCTTGTAATTCAAAGCACTTGTATATCAAAGCAAATTGCCCCATAAGAAATAATGGAAACTCAGATGATTCATTCCACAACCCAAAAATATTCGTATAAAAATGATTACAATACTGTTGTATAATACAAAATAAAGGAAATACAAAATATAAAGAAAAATAAATTATCTTTCACTTACCTTTGAAAACTTGTGGCTGTGAAATGAAAAAAAACAAAAAGCAGAGACTGACGGTCTCAAGGCTGACAGTCTAAGGCTCGTCCCTCCTGCTAAACCCACAGAGGTCATGACCTGCACAAAGGATGAGCTGCTGAAACAACAGCTGTCTGCACTTCCCTATGTCTTAAAGATAAACTGTAAAAGCAACATTTGCCTCTACCCCTGTGTTAAGTTCTGCTTCTGCAACATTCTGCATGCTTCCCTGCCCTTTCTAAAGAACAAGATAAAAATGAAAATAAATTTAGAGTCAGGGCCCAGACTCTGGAAGGTGACTTTCACTGAGCCCCCTAGCGAACAAACCTGCCTTTGAAAGCAAAGGCTATTCTCTTGGGTGCTACTCTCTTCCTTGGTCCGCCTGCCCTCCCAGTGCCCTAACAGCTGGTGTGAGGGGGACAAGAGAAGGTCCTATTGTGTAGGACGACTTTCATTCTCACTAAGAGAATCACTGGAATCTTTTTCTTTTTGTGCAACTTTAGCAAGGAGCCTAAGGACACTTTTGTCTCCTGAGGATTTCATGAAAATGTGACATTGCCTTGTCATTAAACATTTCGTTGCTCACACTGCTACGGCTTTTATTTAGGTGGTGCTTTTCTACACTGTTTCCCACATTTTACAAATCACTCTAATTTCATTTGAAGTGAGAGATTCCTCCACCTTTTTCTCCTCTACAAACAAGATGTCCTCCATCACCTCTTCCTGTTGGGCCATGATCATCCACAATCCTGCAGAGGTGGGGGGGGTAGAGAAAGGTAGGTCACAAACTACTAGTATTCCAAGACATCTCTTGTTTACCAAGTTAAAATTTATTAGAAATGCTCGTCTTCTGGAGCACTCAGAATATGTTACTTACGATCCAAGGTTTTACTGTAAAGTCTCAGCTAAGACAGTATTGGCCCAATAGGGAAGTGAGTCACTTAGCAGGGGTATATGGAAAGAACAAGGCATTCCTGGAAAGTGATGGATCCAGGTGTTCTGGTCTCCCATCTATGTGTCTGATGCTTACTTATATAGGCCCACTGGACCAGGTGGTGGTAATTAGAATATAATCTCAAATTGCTGTTTCTCTCTAGGGTTCTGATTTGCTCTAGAAAGGCAAGTACCTCAACTACTGAGAGAAGGCTAGCCATGAGCCATTAAGAACTCACCAAATATTATCTTTGTGGCCTTGGAATTCGGAACTCGACTAGCAGGGTTTGCCACATTATAGCCTGAGCTCTGGGTAGTCTTGTGATGGCCTAAGCTCTTAAACATATTGTTATGTATTTTGCAGTAACTGAGGTCAGTTACATATGGAGGAAGTCTAAAAAGGTTTGTTTACTCCAAGTTCTCACATATGGGATCTAATAAGATATCCACTCTTTATTGTTGGGGTTTTGGTTTTTATTTTATTTTTGTTATTATTTTTTTGGTACCAGGAATCAAATTCGGGGATCTTGTGCTTGTGAGGCAGGCAGCTGAACCACTGACCTAAATCCACAGCTCATGTTTTGGTTTTTAGAGAAGTTCTCCAACTCTCTTTGTAGTTCGGGCTGGTCTCGAACTCACTATGTAGCCTAGGCTGTCCACGAACTGGATTGGAGGCTATCCTCCTGTCTCAGCATCCCAAGTACTGGGATTGGCGCATGGCCACCAGGTCCGGCATGTCCATTTGTTGTTTCCTTTGTCACACTGCGAGCCACGCTGGACTCCACTTACCCTTAAGGTAAGAATTTGTAAGGTACATAGCTGAATACTTCGCCAAGGGTCTCTCTGGCAGCAGCTACTCGAACTACCCTAAATGTGCGAATTTGACTCAGCCTGCACAAATGAGTACTGGCACTTGCCCTATTCCCTGGATCCTGAAAACCAGACCAGCGAGGACAGCGGGGAACCGCGAGCGACCCAGCCTGCTTGGCAGCTCCAAATTTCCCCAGACCGGAAGCAATGGGGAGGCGTTTCCGGAAGTGGAGGCCTTTAGCTGCGGAAGCCGCGGCTAGATTTTGGGGTTGCGGAGCGGAGGCTGCTGCAGAATTTGGATCCTTTGGTCCCCACCACCCCATTCATTCCTGACCTAGCTACCCCCGGCCTCAATTCGCCATATCCCTGGGTGGAATCTCGGCCTCAGGAGGCTATTATGCCGTCTGCGCGCCATCATGTGTTTGAGTTGCCCGGGCAACAGCCACGTCCGGGAGCGGGGCTGCAACCCTGCTGGGTGCCGATTGTTGCCGAGGCCGCAGTTGAGTACGAGAGTGTACCGCTGCGTCCCTGAGCACCTCAGCTTTCCGACCCTGGGATTTTGACCTGAGCGGGCAGCCCTTTTGACTGTTGAATTGTTGTCCTGGTAACCGCCACTTCCGGGAGCGAATGTTCTCTTGCCCCCCTCCCCCGGCCCTGCAGGCGCACAGCTCCGGGTTCCGGCCTGTAGCGGCGGTTGGTCGGTCGCCTCTGTTCGGGGTTGGGGCTTCCCTTGGCGGAGCCTGCGGGCCGAGTGTCGCGATCCTTTTCGACGCCTCGACGAGGCCTCCGAAGCCGCCATGGTTCTGCTACACGTGAAGCGGGGAGACGAGAGCCAGTTCCTGCTGCAGGCGCCGGGCAGCACCGAGCTGGAGGAGCTCACGGTGCAGGTGACTCGGGTCTATAACGGGCGGCTCAAGGTGCAGCGGCTCTGCTCAGGTGCGGCCAGGGGCTCCAAGAAACCGGGAGATCTGTGGGGGGAGGTTGGGCAGGACCTACAAGGGTCTCGGGCTAGGGGAGAGGTGCCAAATTTACGAAGGTTTGAAAAGACCGGCAGCAGCTAAAGTTGAAATGAGGCCGTAGGGCTAAACGGGTTATTTTAAAAATCGAAAAAGTAGGGACGATCTGGCACTCCCAGCTTGGAGGAGGACAGCGGGTGCGGCCGAGAGTGCCCAAGGGGTTGAGGCCAGGCTTTGTGGGTGCTTTGAATAAGAGAGTAGAAGGGAGCCCAAGGCTGGGCTGACGGGCAGATATAGTGGACTCGACCCTGTGTTTGTGTGTGGGAGGAGGGTTGGAGTGATACCTGGGTGGTTTGCAAAAGGAGGCTTCTAGGGTAAAGCAGTTTTCAGGGGTGAGGCCCCAACTTTGGGGAGGCCTCCAAAGGTGAGGAGCCAGTGAGAACGCCTTGGCGTCCTTTTCCATCTCCTTGGCTACACAAGCCCATTTCTCCTATTGCAGCGTTTGCTAGCCCACCTCCGAATACTCCCCCAGAGCCCCGCTGGCCAATAGAATGGACATGTCCAGTCGGTATTCACTAGGCGTATGTGGCTGCCCAGCTTTTGAAAAGTAGCTAGTGCGACCCAGGAATTGAATAGTTAACTGTGGCATTTGAGAGCACAGCTCTAGAACATACCGTGATTGTCTAGGTGTGGACTAGGGTATTATTACTATTATGCGCTTCTATGACTATATATAATATATAATCACTATAAATGTATTATGAGCTATTAATATACAGTATTTCAACTAGAAGGTTCTTAGGATTTTTTTTCTTTTTCTTCTTTTGGTACTGGGAATTGAACTCAGCACCTTGAGCTTGTGAGGCAAGCAGCGAAACCACTGAGCAAAATCCCCGGCCCTTTCTGATTTTTTTTTTTTTTTTTTTTTT